ATCATATGGTGTTACTGTAAATCAACTAACCCTAATCAACAGGGTCAGTTACTGTTCGATGTTCTCATCTTAGTTGTGATGAGAACAATAAATATATGTTCAAGTAAGTAGTATGTTAAAAATGTGTTGGCTAACAATGTCTTTATTACATTTCCCCTAATAGTTTTCGCTTTCAAAATTTTAATTGTAAAGCTTTTTCAAGTGTTGGATTGCAGGGATTTGATTGGTTGGAGAACCGTTGGAAAACCTGGGAGTGATGGACAGCTGTTTCGGCCTAGTTTGGAGGGGTACAGAAGGTCGGGTGTCAGGACAAATACTCACTAGCGATGATATTAACTAGTGATCACGTTATATATGTTTCGAATTGGCAGAATTTTGAATTCCTAGGCCACTGGTCCGGGTCCCAACGGTCTACAAGTTCGCCTTGTAACCAGAAGGTCCTAGGTTCAAACCCCAGCGGGTACGTACTACCGAAGAATCCTTAACTAGGACGAAACAGCTGTCCAGTACTCCCAGCTTGTTTTCCAATGGATCTCTAACCAATATCATCTCATGAAAAAATTCTGTCGATCCTTTTGCTTAGCTCCAATATTTTAGTGGTGATGAGTATTTGTGACATTTACCGGCTTACACACAGATTTAAGAAATACCAAGCCTGAGAATATTAGATTTCTTTCTTAGGGCTTAATAAAAAAACTACCTTGTTAATTAAGACATGTTCTAACAGGTAAATAGACGGATAAGAAAAACTCCCACACACAGTTCAAACTTGATTTTTTAAAATTTTACTGGGTCAAATTTTTTTTCTCATCTAATCTGATCTACAATAAAATCAATCAAGAGCACGTTATACTTGAAATCATTTGTGTCTTATCAGTATCGGTAGAAATTATGCGTCCAATAGTTTAAGTTCAGTTGTTTGAAAATATTTCATATTTGATACTTTGGCTTACTGCTCTAACCCGGATTTATTAGTATTGAGCTAGTAAAACAAGTGTATCAAAATGATTTAGAACATTAATGATGAAATCGAGAAATTCAGAAAGCCAGTAGCAAGGAGCAATCCAATGACAAAGCGTACAGACAGGTGAACCGATCAAATGAAGAACCTGTGCGAAGCTGGATCATTTTAATTAGTCAAATGGATAGAATGACACTGAAGTGGAGAAGTATAAACTTGATGATGACATAAGGTTACCTCAGTATGGACGATTTTGAGCCATGCAATCAGGACTCACTGATGATGGAACCTTAGCATCCTAAGGACCCAAGGCAGTCGACCTGAAATGACTCAGATTGATAGTTGTAGGTAGATTTCCTTCACGGGTATACATATCTCTCATTTAACCTAAACCTACGTTAGCTTACATTCCTTGTTTGTTTTTCGAATGTTGCTTGAGTTTCAGTTTGATGGTGTACTAGCACTTCCTCTTTATAGCTTTATTCTGGCTTAGCGAGTAAGGGACCCATTCCTTGTTTTACTAATTTATAATTATTCACTTGGGATCCTAGTAGGACATAGGGCTTCAACAGCAAATCTCCAGTTGACTTTCTTCATCGTAGTCTTTTTTAGGTGGATCTACAGTTGCTTATAAGCCTTCATCTCATGCTTACACGATCTTCTTCATGTCACCCAAGGAAACACACCCAAATTGCCGTTTCCCACTTAGGTTCCACTCAAGAGGTACTTCTTTTCTAGTCTGGTAATATTAATTTTTCAATTATTCGTTTTGTAGAGATTTCGTTTGATTGGTTGGAGGATTTCACCATGAGCTAACACCGGCTAGAGAACCAGTGGAAAACTTGCAGGGAGTACTGGACGACCGTTTCGTCCCAGTTTGGGACTCTTCATCAGTACTCATCCACCCCACGGGTCGAACCCAGGACATTCTGGTTACAAGACGAGCTCGTAGATTATCAAGCCAATGGGACCAGTAGGGTACAGCAGGTTAAAGGTCAGGCAGTAACTCATCGAAGAAGACATTGAGAAGTGGTCGCGCTATGTCATGAATTGGCAGAAGTTTAAATATTAGTTTTGTTTGCAATCTACCTGACATGATGAAGATTCTCCAGTTAATTTCCTTACTTTCTTGAACAGCTTACGTGTAACCTATAGTGTGTACAAACATAGGTTATGCTGTGCTCTAACGATAGAATGAGAATTTAAAAATCTCCATTGAGTCATACAAAAGAAAAGACGTCCAGCGAAGAGTCACTCTTTTCAGAGATATCATTCCCAAGTTGTACAATAGCATAGATATATAGTTAGTTTGTCTTAGCAACAAAAGATAATATTGAATGTTAGATCACAAATTACGTAATGTAGAAGGCGTTAATCGGTTAGAAACTAAAATTAAACTAAATGAGTAAATTGAGTGACGTAATATAATTGACGAGGTTGAGTAGAATTCAGTTAAAATAAAAACAAGAATCAAGTTAACAACAGTGGTGACAAAGGGTAGAAATTTAATAGGGGGTGGGGGTGATGGTGAGGGAAGAAAATAATGCAATTAAGAAACAAAATTTAAAAATTACGTATCCGTTGTTAAGATAGATCAGGTCCATTGTAGATTTAATGACTGAACAAACTTCTTTTGTGTGCAGAGTTTAGTATTCAACATGTGAAGTGCCATTGGTTCTGATTGGATTGTTCTACAGCAATAAATCTGAAGCCTTAGTGGAGGCCTGCTTAAAACTTGGGCTATCGAAAACCTCCATCTATATAGTGCATATAATTTCTCTTAATCAGTTTGTTCATATCCAGTAGAGTATGACCTCTAGTGGAATAGTTTACTCTGGCGAGTATTTAAAATATTTACGACCTGCTGATTCGGAAGTTTCTACTAAACATGTGAAAAAGCATTATCCTCGATGGCAGCTTATCCCAATATATGAGATGACCATTCCTGAGTGATGTCCTTAGTTCACAAAATGTATTCCTAGACTTTTTATAATTGGTATTCAACAAAATGCCGTGTATTTCTCGAAAGAGAGAAAGAAGAGACATCATAGTGGATTGATTTGCGCTTCAGGTCAGATAGGACTGTGTCACACATCTTACTTCAGTCAAATCCTTTATTTGAAGATCCTAGACGAAGAGAAAATATCATTCAATAAACTCCGCTGAAAATTCTGTACATTATATGAACACTGTTCAGAATAAAGCGTTTACTATTAAAATAAAATAGAAATTTCTTCAGTAATTACGCCTATTTGCAACGATTATAAAGACAGTTAAGCCTTAAACACTCTAAATATGGAGTATCCATGATAAGTAACCATCCACTAAAGTATTCGAGAAAGTGTGTATACTCACTCGCCAGTGTCAGACTTCGACAGTCTCAACAATTACCGGAATCACAGTCGATATATATTAGCATAAGTTCTTAATAAGAAAGATATGGACGGAAAATGTCCAATTTCGTCTTTAACGTTAGTTTCATTTAGGGGATTGGCCGATTAATACCGTTAATAATTACAGTATGATTCCATACATTGTAAAAATCTGTTTTGTTTTAAAATGTTTCATAATGAATTTTTAGAATTCGCTTTTTCGGCTGAAAGCGATTCACACTACTGGTTTCTCTTCACATTAGGCATAAATCGGCGTATAAGTACTTATTATTATTCCCTTGGATTCCGATTTCCTGCTTTCCTCTTTATCTGGGCCCACAATTGCCCATGGTCTCTCTTCTCCTCTTCCTCTCATGATCTCCTCCATATCCCTATCGGCTGCCACACTCGTCATTCTCCATTCGGCTTCTACTCGAGCGATGGCCTGACAAGCGATGTCGCCCAGCTGTCTCCTAAGCGTATGCGCAATCCATCCCTATTTTCTCCTACATATTTGTTTAGCAATCGGATCTTGGTCGGTACGCTCCAACAGTTTCTTGTTGTCAACTCTTACTGGTCATTTCATCTTCAGCATGGAGTCAGTGAAGGCAGCTGTTGATAAAAATCTGTAATGGCCTGTTGGAAATCCTTTTAGTGACACGCAGTGCAAGTTTCTGACCCATATGGAAGAGTTGACTGACTTGATATTTATGTTGAACATCCAAATCTTGTTCTTTATGCTGTGTGCAGAAGATTTCCAGACTGATTTAAGACTGATGAAGGTGTACCTTGCCTTTCCGATTCTGTGGACGAAACATTGCAGTCTAGATAAGTGAAGGAAGTAACCTCTCTCAAATTTTTCCCATTGATGGTGATTGGTACTGGTTGCTGTTACTGGTGAATTGAGAAATTGGAGAAACAATCATCATCTCTAATAGATCTCTAACCACACATTAGTAAATAACAGTTAAATGTTTAAATTAATATGTTTATCACAATTATGGTCATCTATGTGATGCAACTGAAGTTCATTCTATATTATTATTATATTTTATTGCCTCCTTGGGTTTCGAGTGGAACATAAGGGTGCAACAGCGCATCGCCATTTCACTTAGTTTCCTGAAGTTTTTTCCAACTGGGTCCACGATTGCCCATAAGCATTCGTTCCCTTCTTACTCTATGTCCTCCAAATCGCCCTCATTCTAGCTAACTAATATTCACCCGGGTAATAGCAGTTAAATTTACACACTAACTACAGACTCAAATTTATGCTAAGAATAATATTATTTTCTTATATTGAGAATATTAAAAAAACCCTTTCATCTAGAGGATTTTTGGAACGAAAGTTAATAATAACATATTCTATAAGGGACTTGGTGACAATGTCTATTATCATATCCCTATATTCTCTTAATCACATTTTGCCTATTGTTGACATGCCAACATAACAGACTCTTGATTATGATTGGTTAAAACGTTTGCCTTCACTCATTGGTAGAAATTACTGTAGGCATGCCTTAGTGGTAACCTTGACAGTCGTTTGCTCTAACCCTCCCACTGTGAGTCATTCTTCACGTGGCCTAGGCCTGCCTATGAGAAAAACAGATTGGCAGACAATGTCTACTTATTATTCGTCCACCTAGCTTGCTAGACGGCTACAATCGATAGTCATTTTATTATTAAATCAATGCCTGTTTTTTTTGTAAAAAAATGTCGAATCTAATAGGCTTAGGTTGTGTTAGCCTTTTTCAACCAATAGGAAAGCTAAGTTGACTATTCACAACCTGTCCGATGGCATCTGTTTATAATAGGCTAAAATTATATAAACGTCTCATAATGTAAAAACTAGTTTTATTTTGGGGGAATGACATCAAAAACTGAGAGATGTGGTTGTGGTTATGACTATTATACTAAAAGCATCACAGGATCTTTAAGTCAATGTAAAATGGATTATTCATGTAGTAGTAGTAGTCGTGCTAATCAGCATACTTCAACAACAGATGAAACATCGAATTGGAATATTGAAAACGTGAAAAAATTTTCAAGTTTGCATTATTCTAGTGATTCTTCAGAGCCGTTATTCTCAAGGTATGTACTCATGCATTGTGTGTGTTTTTTTTACATTTATTACAGAGGGATATTTTTCCATTTATGTTTTTGTAGCGTTTTCTCTATTTATGTAACAATAGTACATGTATGCGAGTAGCGTAAATCGAATAGCCTTACGGCTTTTGTGATGGAATCAGCCTTTGTATCACTTAGATTTTTCCAGGCTATGCACTCGTGCTGAGTAATATTACTACTTACGGAAACTTTTATACCTAATATCTAGAAAGTAGGTTTTTCAGTTAAGAAACCTAGTTCTGACAAACTTCGTGTCTGAGACACCACTAACATTAGGCATTTTAAAAACTTCTGTGCCAGACTGATGGACGTTCTCAAAGCGTGAGGAATGTAGTTCATATTTACACTTCTGTGAAATTTTAGTGTTGCTCTATTTCTGGTTTATTTTTCTAATGAAAATATATTAAATAACACTCAGTTTAAGTCGTCCATTGTAGTAATGAGTACCGACGACGAGATCCTCGTGTTAATTAGATTTTTCCCCAGATAAATGTCCTACATAGGTAGTCAATGTGAGCATATTAATATTTGAGTAATCGTGTGGCAATTATCATCACTTGTTTGTTAATTGTATGTGAATATGAGTAATCATTAATAGATCGAATCTGAGTCCTGACTAATGCAACGATTATCTCTAATAATTGGTCTATATTCACAATACTGTCATCCCTTTTGATATGGAGTTTATCATGGAATGTCCACTAGTTGTTAGCATAAAGAATCGATGCAGCTTGTGGCTTATATACATCTCATCAATGTAGAGAATTCTATCGCTTAATTGTGGAAGTACCGTGGTATTGAGATTCGAAGGCAGCATTCAGCCAAAATTTCTTTTAAGGTTATGATAACCTCAATGTTTTTCTTTTGATTCAATAAAGTTTTTTATTGAGGTTAAGACGTAATATGTACATTGGTACTTTAACCTTGATATCTTGCAGCTAGTAATTTTCAATGACCCTCCATTCTCCCCTTAACCATAAAAACGTAGGTATCATATAATCTCACTACACAGCGCTTTACAGCTGATGCATCATGCGTAAAGCCATAGAATAAAGCTGACTGTACAAGCCCCCGATTGTCTGTTTTTTTTAAAAGAATTATTTATATATAATTTCTGTAAGATGTTGATTTGGCCGTTCACCACAGAATTCACCGAAAATTGTCTTTTATAAGTACAAGTATTTTCAAGTGTGTTCATGCTGTGTTCGTCTTGTTTGTAGGGTGAGACAATACTTTACCAACTTTGAAGTGGTTTCCAACATTCCTATTTTCATTAGTAGTTGAAAGATCGTCTCTACACATTAGGATTTTTTATAAATAGTGAATTTATATTAACATGTATGTTGATTTAAGAATGGTATTTACTGACCTTCTAGACTAATAATAATTGTCCAGTCTAGTTCTAACATCGGTACATTAGATACGACCTTGGTCATATAGTTCATTCTGTCTAAGTGTGATAAGCATAGTCCTATTTCTTGTAATTCATGGTTTCCTAAGCGTAAACAATGTCTCAGTTTACATGGCAAATTATTATAAATTTTTATAAAATTAATATTTTAGTTGTAAAGAAGAAGTACAATGTCCAACTAGCCAGTTCAAATCGAATTCTTTACGTTCATCCTCTTTAAGCACGGAGCATATGCTTCAAGATCCACCTGTTAAAAGCTCCTTTTGTCAAAAGCATATTGTTTCTGCTGACTCCTTGGATATCTTCAATTCTTCTTGTGTAAATCCACATTGTTTATGTTCATTCACGAATGGTCAAGAAACATCGGATTCTATTGGATGCATGAAGTTTCATACTTATCATAATCATGAACGTATGCATCCGTCACCTAGACGATTGAAATCCAATCTCAGTTCAGATAATCATCCTTTTATAATATCCAATCGTAATGTTGTTTCACGTGATTGCGGTTTAATGAATCCAGAATCATCTGTGAATCCAAATGAATCATCTACTGTCAATGATCATTTCAAATACAACATGTTACCTTATCCCGTTGATCTTCCAAATATTTGCTACGAATTAGGAGATGGATCTGATAAAGAAGTGGAACGGATTGAACATTATTATGGTGGTCGATTGAGAGCTCAGCGTGCAGCAAGAATTATTCAAAACGCCTATAGAGACTATCGTTTGAGAGCAGAATATGCACGACTAAGATTTGTCAAAGGTAATAATCGTAACACAGAGGTAAAACCCTCAGAGGTTGCTGTTCAAAATAAAGACAAATCTAATCAGTTATCAATGGATGACAGTAGTGGAAGGAGTTGTCTAAAGTCTGGTCGCTTGTATGATGTAGACGATCTAGTTATTGATCGAGCATATATGGACTGGTCCCTGGAGGCTACTGTAAATGAAATTGAATCGAATAACTCATTGCTGGATGGTACATACTTAGCGGATGACAAAGATGCCAAGTATTGTTCTCAGTGGCAGCAATCTCAAGCGAAATCTGTCTCTCAATCTCCTGACGTTCCTAATATTATGAGTAACAAATACCTATCTCCTGATATTGTGGAGTCACATGTAAATAAGAAGGATTTCTCACGATCCTCAGTACCTAATTCATCAGTGCAATTTGACAACAACATCCAATCATCTAGACGAAATATTGAGAATAATTCAGGTAGACACCCAACTAATCCTCAAACACAATTGAACAGTCCTCCATTGCATAATTTCAATCCATATTTAAAGTTGAACGTGAACAGTTCGTGTGAAGGTTGCTGTTGTTGTTGTTGTTCCCATCAGACTAATTTTAACCATTACGTTTGTAATGAAAGCATTCCCAAGGCACAAGTACTTTCTCCGACTGAAATAGATTCTTCTACACACAATGGACATTGTTTTCAAAAATGCTGTTTACCCACCCGGATACCGAATCATCGAAGTATTCAAAACAACTGTCCATATTGCATGTGTTTCCCGACTATGGGCTCTATTGCATCCAATAAATCTCCAACTTTAGTTTGTTTACCTGCTTCCCGGAATACCACTATGGTTCCTCCTCCGTGCAATAGTAACCCGTGTCCAGCAGTTATATCTTATCCTATTAGTAAGGTATGCAAAACACCACCGTCTGTAGTTCCATCTTGTCCTCCTTTGAACAGTGGATTACTACATTTCAATTCAAGGCATATAATGCCAACAACAGCCTCACTGATTGTCCCTACACAACAAATGGAATCTTTAAAATTAAGTAATAATAATAATAGTAATACTAATAATAGTGAGTCATTTCAACGACATCATCCAAATCATATGTCTTGTCGAAATCAATGTGCACATATTGATCCTGCAAATTCGTGTCGTTTACGCCTACATCATTCCTATTTTCCATACACTATACCAAATCAGGCAATTCCATCGTCTCTGGTTACTCCTTATGGCTTCAAAAATCCGTGTCTAATAAGGATACCCAGTGCTCAAGAGAAACGCAGAAAACGAACTTATCGTATAGGCCTAAATATATTTAACAAGTAAGTGTTGGTTTGAGTACAATTAATTTCCTTGTGCTAAATATATTCACATATTTTCATAAAATGTTTGACTTTTGAATTGTCTAGAATTGCTAGTTCAGGAATTACACCAAAAATATAACGGAGAGACGGAGCATGACTGGTAACGTCAAAAGTAAGAACAGCACTTACAGTGGATTTTGTGTGCCTTTCCTCTATACTGCTATTCTGATATTCAGCTTTACTCACAGTCATGGCCTTTTAAGTTCAAGTGCATTAAGTCTCACCATTCTTTGTACAATACTAATTGTGCTGTTTGAGATGTTATTTATTGAAACCTTTGCATTTAAACACTAAGTCCCTTACTCATTAACCGATCTCATGAATCAATAAGACAATATCTGAGTGGCACAGGGTAGTAGGTGCACGGACCTATGATGCAACCGCCTGTTATTTGGCTTGCAGTATATTTCATGTCATATAATATACTGAAATACACTATATGTATTCTGAAATGGAGTTGTTCATGAATATTTTAGTACATTTTAATAAGGTCATGCAATGGCATTTGTTTTCCTGTGTGTGCTAATTTTGATCACGTTTTATGATTATTTTTTTTTAAATCACAAAGTTGATCTCAATTTCAACTGACATTATTAAAAAATATGTTTATAATCATTTTTGTTCGTATTTTAAATAAATTTTATTTCCGTTGAGATGTACCGTTTGTTTGTGTGTGTGTTTGACCTGATTAAACTCGGATCAGACTAGGAGCCACATAATTATTGAATGGGGTTTAGTGATACTATTCAGTTTTCTAGGATAAGGTGATTCGGGTGGGATTCGAACCCAGGAACTACACGCTGAAGACCGAGTGCACGTGTAATCGATATATTACAGCTCTTTGATTGATTTTGTAAATTCCTCTGGTGTGTGTATGATAATTTATGAAGATAATTCAACGTCAAATAATTTATTTCATAATAATAATAACTGTAACTGTCATTCCACAATTTTCTTTTAGATCACCTGTAAAAGGCATTGATTTCCTTATAAAAAATGGATTTTTGGAAAATTCTCCTCAACTGGTTGCACGTTTTCTGCTTACTCGTAAAGGCCTAAGTCGTGTTGCAATAGGTGATTACCTGGGGAATACAAAAAATGAATTAGCTAAATTGACAACACAGTAAGTTAAACTTTTGCTCTGAATAATATTCTAAATGTATGTATATGTATGCTTTGTAAATGTGTCGGTAGCACAGCAGTAGAATGCTCTCCAACTACGCCTCATGGGGTTCGGGGTTCTATTCCCGACCGACGAGGCACTCCTTTACCTCGCTAAGCCAGTAATAAGACTGGTGAAGAGGGAAGGTTGGGCATGAGGCTAGCAACCCCATCCCGCAAGAATAAACACCAGTGTCGCGGAAACTTCAAAGCTGAAGCTTGAAGCCCTATGTTCCACTGGGAACGTAAAGGAATAATAAAATGCTTTGTAAATATGTTTTCGTTATCCTTTGTAAGTTCGTATACCAATACCCTTTTTATCAGTTTAAATGAAACCAAAACAATGGTTTGATCCCAATGAGATGATATCATATTTTGTTACCGGTTTCTCGTCAGTTGCATACGAATTTTTAAAAAAATGCACATCTTAGACTTTTTGAATGTGTACTGGAAAGTCGAAGTCTTAAGAGAACTGAGGGTTTCAACAGTGCTGTTGTCAGACATCTGTTAAAATCTCCGTCATCAAGTCGATATCTTAAAAATTATCTAAGATTATCAGTAGACAGTATAATCCAAGTGTGCCGAAGCAGTTTCTTTCAAATGTGTAAAATCCTTACTTGTTTATTCAGAATATAAAGATAATCTTTGCCTTGGTAACTTGAATTATTAACTCTTTATTTTTCATTTGATTACATAATCTTTCGCTTTAAACCCTTCCCTATTATTTTGTCTGAACTCACCACATTATTACGAAACTGGTTAGTAATAGTAGTAGTAGCTTACCACCATCCATCATTTGTCCTTATAACCCAACTTCTGAGCACATTTTATTATATTTGTTAACTAACATCACCTACACAACTGTGTAAGTACGTTAAGAATTCCCCTGCACATCTACTTGAAGCTGTGATATCATCCTATTCTGCTCAAACCGTTGTTTATTTACACTTTTCACTGAGTGTCTTTACATGTATACGTCTTGATTGTTGTTGTTGGTGGTATGATGGAAAAAGGTGTATTGTCCTCTGATAATATGTTGTCCTTCTGTGTGCTATTTTGTTTTTTAAGGTTAATGCATGCCTACTTATCAAAAAATATAAATGTGACATTGTTATTTTTATTGACTAGACAGACAATGGACAGCAGTTCATTTTTTGTTGACTAAAGGTTAAACTATAGAGGTCAGTTACATGTTATCGTAAGGGAAAAGAACATGATTGTAACATTTTGTTGTTAAATCATTCCAAATCTGTTTGCTGTTTTTTCAATTGACTTGAATAACCTCCAATTGGGTGTTAATCGCGGTCAAAAAGTCACTAATTTAGCGTTTCGTTTTTGAGCTTCAATGGATTTATAACCTTTTTTAAAAAAATGTTTTGATCTCTAGGCGATTTGCGTGTAGTCAGTATTTCTGGGCGTTAGTTTGTAGGGATTTGATTTGTTTGATCACGGATTGATATCAGTTAGTGAAACATTGAAAACCAACAGGGAGTATTGGATAGCTAGCTGTTTCGTCCTAGTTTGGAACTCATAGGCATTACTGACCCACTGGGGCTTGAATCAAGTACCTGCGGTGGTGGGGGATTCCATCCACTAGGAAGTGAGGACATTTGTTGGTGGTCGCGCAAAAATCACGAATTGTCGTTGAAACAAGCCCCAGTGGCTGAATGGTCTCGTAACCTGAAGGTCCTGGGTTTGATATCTGGTGGGTTCGTAGGTGCGCACTGATGAAGAGTCACAAAATAAGACGAAACAGCTATCCAGTGCTCCTTAGTTTCCAGTGATCTCTCTAACTGATGTTATTTCGTGACGAAAATCTAACATTTCCGCCATAACATCTGCTGATGGTCGCGCTAAAATCCCGAATTGTTAGGAGTTAAAATTCATAGGCTGAATCGCCTACGAGCTTGCCTTGTTCTGGTTTTGAACCCCGGTGGATGCAAACTTTTTACGAGTCCTGAACTATGGCTAACACAGGTATCCATTACTCTCTCTCTCTCTGGGTTTTATCTGTTTCTCTAACTGCTATCAATCCGTGATGAAAGCTGAAATAAATTTGTCACCTCTACTTATCAGGATTCATTTTTTTCAATTATCATCATTATTATTTCAAAATCTGTTGAGATGTTCTTATCATATGAATGTGACATGATATTCTTGTGATATCGTGTTCATGTGAATACAGATTTTTAATGAAAAGAATATTTATGGTAAGGTCATTAAAATAATATAACCCAGTTAGAAAGACTACCGTTTTCTCTCATCTCAGTGATGTGCTGCATTACACTGACGATGATGATTCATGTTTTTTTATGATGGTGTTTTGGTGATGGGCTGATAGTGTATGTTATTCACACAATACATACACCTATGAGGAGTAATCGATAAGTTCTTTCTTTATTATATCAACCCTGTGTGTGTGTGTGTATGTTTGTATTTGTATAAGTCTTAAGTGAATTCAGTTAGCTATCAGCAAAATCAAAATCTCACATATTCACTATCTGTTTCATCTCTATCATTCTTAATTGTGTCTGTTTGGGTGTTGTGTTATGTTGTGATGTGATGTGTGAAAGTGTTGTACTATCCGATTGTGATGCGTATGATTTCTCTAATCAGCAATGTTATCGTCATACAAACTGTGCGTCGGTGGCACAGTGGTTAGGACTCTCGCCGACCATGCACATGGTCCGGGGTTCGAGCCCCTGCCGGCGCACACCCGATATCTATGGTATGCCTGAATTTGGGCAACCGATATCCATGCTGAAAATTCCACACAAAATCAAAAAAAAAACTAACTTGTTGAAGCCTGTCAGTCATCTGAAGACATTGACAATTACTGACTGATGCTTTATTTCGAATACTACTTCCGTTGTAGAAATGTCTTTTGTGAGAAGTTGTCTCTGGTCTTCAAAGCATGAATAAATGTCAGTAAACGGTTGATACTGATATCTAATCTTTTGAAGATTCTGTATTTTGCTGTCAGGTAGGCTGTTGAGCTGTCGAAGTGGTTAGGCTTGTTTTACATATGTGTATGTGGCAAATTTTAGCCCTTTCTCAAGAATTCTATACGAATAATTTATCTCCTGTAAACGAGAAAACAGAGGTAATGAAGATTCCTGGACAAGAACAACGACAACAGACAACGATCAGCATAAATGGGAGGAACCTGAAAGAAACAACCTCTTTTACCTACCTACTGGGAAGCATCGTTTCAACTACAGGCGGAACTGACGAGGATATCAAAGCAAGAATCGGAAAAGCAAGACAAGCTTTCACTACTCTCAAGTCTGTGTGGAGGTCAACAGCACTCAGCATCAAAAATAAGATCCAGATTTTCAACTCCAATGTGAAGTCAGTCAGTGCTACTATACGGATCAGAGACTTGCACTGCGCGTCATAAAGAGCATCTCAAACAAACTACAGACCTTCATTAACAGTTGTCTTCGCTCAATACTCAAGATCAGATGGCCGGTCAGAAAAGATCAGCAACAGGGATCTCTGGGAGCGAACCAACCAGGAACCGATTGTGAAACAAATAGGCAGGAAGAAATGGAGATGGATTGGCCATACTCTGAGGAAACCATCAAGTGACATCACTAGACAAGCCATTGCTCGAGTGGAACCCGAAAGGGAAGCGGCGAGTTGGTCGTCAGTGCAAGGGTGACTTGGAGGAGGTCATGTGAAGAGGAGATGAAAACATGTGGGCAGACTTGGAGCCAGGTGAAGACTCTAGCAGAGAACCGAACGCAATGGAGACGCACGGCTGAAGCCCTATGTTCCTCTAGGAATTAAAGGAAATAATAATAATAATGAACGATATATACAGTGGGATATTTTGCATAATGTCGTAAAGCGACCACTTGAGATATGTCCTCTTTGATTTTGTTCCCACAAATGCATGAAATTTAGGATGCATTGTAGTAGAGACAAAGTTTTTTTGCTAATATTTTGTTTATTTAGGCACATATTTCTAGCGTTCTGATTTTCATGTCAGTTTACGAAGAAAACATCGTTCAGCAAAGAGTAACTCTTTTCAGAGATATCATTCTCAAGCTGTACAATCGCATAGATATATAGTTAGTTTATCTTAGCAACAAAATGAATACTTCAAAAGATGTGTCATTAGAATTGTGAATGTTAGATCACAAATTACGTAATGTGGAAGGCGTTAATCGGTTAGAAACTAAAATTAAACTAAATGAGTAAATTGAGTGACGTAACATAATTGACGAGGTTGAGTAGAATTCAGTTAAAATAAAAACAAGAATCAAATTAACAACAGTGGTGACAAAGGGTAGAAATTTAATAGGGGGTTGGGGTGATGGTGAGGGAAGAAAATAATGCAATTAAGAAACAAAATTTAAAAATTACGTATCCGTTGTTAAGACAGATCAGATCCATTGTAGATTTAATGACTGAACAAACTTCTTTTGTGTGCAGAGTTCAGTATTTAACATGTGAATCGCTAATAATTCTGTGGTTTGAAGGAGTTTGATTCGTACTCTTTTAGCAAGATTCCCACGTATTTTGTAGATAACTTTGATGTTCCCTTGTGGGTTAGCTTCGATTAGGTGTTTCAGGATAGGGCTGCGGGGGATGTTTTTTTCCTTTGTGAACCCACGAGGGTAAGCGTTCTATGGTACTTTCTATAGTTGGTTTGTAAGGGTTAGTTTTGTTTTTACGGGTTGATCACGGATTGATATCAGTTAGAGAACCATTGAAAACCAGTACTGGAGTACTGGACAGCTGTTTCCTCCATCCTAGTTTGGGATGGGTAGGGGTCGCGCTAAATCACGAATTGGTAGAAGTTAGAATTCATGAGCCATTGAATCGGGTCATAGTGGCTGAATGGTATATGAGCTTGCCTTGTAACCGGCAGGTCTTGGGTTGGAACCCTGGCGGTGGATGCGTACTGCCGATGATTCCCAAACTAGGGTGAAACAGCTGTCCAATACTCCAGTGCTGGTTTTCAATGGTTCTCTAACTGATATCAATCCGTGATCAACTCGTTCTATGATACGTTTGGATAACAAACGCTAGCTACGACTGACATGCATAGTCATACAACATGTGAATTGATAGGTGCACACTGGTGAGTCCAGCAATGGTAGCTTCTCCTTCACGCTCCGTGCGAATCATTGGTTTTTTGGAGAAAGTCGAATTTCAGCCGCGAAGGAGGTTTTTTCAATGAGCGGGACAAGCGGTTTCTCAGTATTTCTGATGATGAGTCTCCATTGAATTGTAGATTCAAGTAAAGAAGTTTTTTGGGAGCAGAAAGTGTGGGCGGTTTTAATGTTTTAGGCTTCATGAATTTTGTGATGAGACGTTGTGGGTAGCTATTTTCAAGGAGGATTCTTTTCAGAGTGTTCAGCTCCTCTTCCATAGTGTAAGGACTGCAAATACTGTGGATTCTGTGGCTCAGTGAACGGATTAGGTTTCGTTTTGTATATAGAGGGACAAATCTATCTAAGTAAGTGAGTTGTCCGTCCCATGCTGGCTTTCTGTAGATGGATCTTTCTAGTGTTCCATTTTGTTTACGTCTTGTTATTAGAACGTCTAGAAAAGATATTTTGTACCGGAATCCTTCTCTGTTTTAAACTGAATAGAAAAATGGCAGCTGCTGAAAAAGTCCAGGGTGTTCTCCGAATTCTCCTCATTATTGTAGATAATGAAAGCATCGTCCATGAAAGTATCTTTTGTAAAACCCAAAACTGTCACTCATTTTCTTTAGGTAGGTTTATGATAAAAATAAGGAAATAGGAGGTTGATTGATGTTTTTCATATTTTTCAGGTATACACTGTTATCTAATAACACTATTCATAGATGTCCCAAAAAAGCAATTGTTTCAAGTCTGCGGGATTGTTAGTATGAATGAATCCTTTTTGATTCAGTTACCTAGATATGAATAGAACTCAATAGTTTGGGTTGAATGTATAACCCCCCCTCAGTAGTTGATTATCGTGACGAAGTTAAAATTTAGGCATCGAAGAGGCGTGAACAGCATCAATGATCTTAGAAATAGCCATAGCACTGAAAGGTAAATTCGGTCTTCTAACACTAACCCTGATCAACTTCGAACAGTCCAGTATTTTAATTAACCAAACTGTTAAGCTGTTCCTAGCGTAAAATTAACCTTAATCTTTCCCAAACATAACCTATAACTTCCTAGATATCCTGTTTAGTATCATTGCACTACATTCAACAATTTATTTTTCATGAATATAGCGTTATTTATGTGGATTCATTACCTTTCTGACTGCGTGTTACAAAGACATTGGTACGTTCGCGTCTTTTTGGTGCCTAAAGTTTGTGACTATACAGGCATGCAAAATTTAAGTAACATTGTGTCAAGACAGAGTTTACCTTGATCGGAATTGTGTATGCAAGCACCTACATCTCTGGCATCCTGAATATCAAGTCGATTTATTAGGGAATTACGGAATAGAGGTGGCCCATTGCAATTAATCATATTTCTCAGATAAACTTGCTCTTTTGATAACGCCTTTTAAAAAATCAATCGTCAAGTGTTGGCTTGCAAGGATTTGATTGGCTCCAAGTTTAATCACGAACTGAGTTCTGTTTGAGAAGTGCTGGAAAACCAGGTTGTACCGGACGGCCGTTTGGTCCTAGCTTGGGACTCTTCAGTAGTATGCACTCTCTGAGGTTTGAACCCAGGACCTCCCGGTTATAAGGTGAGCTCGACCACTGGGACCCGATTCAATGACCCATGAATTCCAACTTCTGCCAATTCGTGATATATACTTATTTATAGCGCAACCGTCCGCTACTGTTATAACCATCTAACTATTCTCTTACCTGACCCCGGTTGTTGCAACTGCTCATTAGGGCTCTAGGTAACTTCCTCCCTGTATACAGCCAGTCGCTAGTGAGCATCGGATTAACTATCAAGTGTCGGTTTGCAGGGATTTGATTGGTCAGTTAGGGGCAATATTGAAAAGCCAGGGGATGCTGAACAAATTGTTCCAAATCTACAGGAGTATCAGTATGAATGGATTCTTTTTGTGATTCAGTTACCTAGAAATAAGTGGAACTCCAGTAGATGACCCTAGTCACTCTCTGATTCTTTTATTTTTCTCTTCAAATCTGTCGAAACGCGATTCTTTGAATGAAGGATCTCAGTCAGAATCAGTCGCTTTCGGATTACAGCACTAGAATATCCGTCTACTTCGATCTGATCTTTACACGCCAACACATACTTTACCTCATAACCTTACTGAATTGTCAATAAGATTTGTAATATATGCACGCAAGGTTGTGTTGACCCGTCCGTCGATGAATACGGAATTGTATACCATCCGTTGTCTCGGATAACAGGTTATTTCACATTTTCCTATAACTTTTTAAGAATTCACTCCTCTCTCTCTTTTCTCTCCCTATTATTTGTTTATATTAATATTTTGGAGATTTGGATAGATCGATTCACAGTTATAATAATATCGATATAAACAATCACAGTTTATACTTTTTACTGCTACAACTTAATTTTATGTTCATTTTGACATTTATTTATAAGTGTTATATGTCTGGGGACAATTATGGAGACACCCAATTGGGTGTGTGTGTACTAAGGTGTACACATATATACTAGACCAAAAAATATATTGTACCTTGATATTTCTGTTTTTTTGTCCATGTTTAAATCCTTTAATATTATTTTTGTTTGGCGGGTAAACATTTTTCTCCAAATTCAAGTTTTTATGTTGTACGAATGAATAATAAACTTTATGTCGTCCGTCTGTAGTATTTGTATGCGGTAAAAATAACTAACGATACAATCCAGTGTTTTAATGTGCATCACTCTCCTCATTATATACTGTAGTGATTCATGCAGAAAGAGAGAGACGTAACTAAAAGAGACGCGTTACATAAGTGAAATGAAGTGAAGCAAAGAAGAAGAGTTGGCATTACAAACTGTCTGTTTTTGTCGTTGAATGCAAAAGGAGTGGGTGGGGATCATGGGATGCTTTAGCTGTAGTCGCACACACACACACACACACACGCAGTGAACAAGGCTGTTCACTTAGTCGCTTGCATTAGCAATCCTCACTAAAATACAACTATGATATGAATGACAAAAAACGGAAGCCCCCATGCGCGTCGTATTATCTTCTCTCTTTTGTAAACACACCTGTTTAGCCAGGCTGATTAATATTGTTGTTTGTGAAAGTTTAATCCTTTCTTGTGTGTTAATTATTGCATACATACAACAGGTTTTGTTGTCGTTGTCGGTGGTGGTAGTGGTGGTGATGATGCTGGTGTTGATATTTCTCTGTCTCTGTTGACACTTTCTACCAGACATAATCCGCCACTAACTTCTTACGGTCAATGAATCACAATAATTATTTAGCTTTGTTTTGTTTATGATGTATATATGTTATATACATACATATGGAGGGAGAAATGGGATCATGTTATGTTTTTATTTTATCAAATTTATGTTAACAATATGTGGTACATATATGTATATAAATATATGTCTTTGTTTAGTAAATTTCACCAATGAGTCATCCTAATTAATTATTGTTTTTCTCTTCATTTTCTCTTTATCTTTATTACATAACGTTCCTATAGGCAGTTTATTCGAGAGTTAGATTTTCGTAATCAAGAGGTTGATGAAGCGTTGCGTTTACTTCTGAGCTGTTTTCGTACACCGGTAAGTTTTATAACACATTGTTTGTTTTTATTTTATTCCTTCGCATTCCTAGTGGAACATACATAGGGCTGCATACTTGAGCATTTTAAGGGTTTGGGTGACTAGTCTCACACTCAACTTTCCTTCTATATCGGGGCTTACAACCGGCTATGGTGAGGTGAGGTAAAGGTTTTCTCTAACCGAGAATCGAACACCGGACCACATGCATGCTTGGCTTGGTGAGTCTACTCCTGCTGAATCACCACCCACGCCACTAGTTTTATAACATGCTTAATGGTCATTTATTTGGTTTGTAAGGCATATTTAGAAAGTATCCGTTTCTTAAGTATGAATTAAAAAAACACGTTTAATATTTGGTTTTAGGTAATAATATTAGCTTGATTTAAAGTGCCATTGAGTTGTGAAAACAAATAAGACGAGAATTAGAGGACTTGGAGACTGGAACTATGCAGTAGTAAGTGAATTAGCTACTAAAAATACAAACATACCGGGGAAACAAATCACTCAAGGATCCATTTGACGCTTTACTATAGAGTCCTTTTGTGAGAAAGTCAACAATCTGCCAGAAGAATCAGTTAGGGCTGGACTTCAAGTGTACACAGAGTAGACAGAGATACACTAACCACCAAAAGCAAGCATTAATCACCATCAACAGGATAACATTGTTTCATCTACAGGCGGCACGGATAGGAGTGTCAAAAGCAGAATCGGAATAGCAAGAAAGACCTTTATTGATCTGTAATCAGTCTGGAAGTGTACTGCATTCAACAGAAAGAACAAGATATGGATTTCTAACACTAATGTGAATTCAGTGCTTCTCCGCAGTCCAGAGAGTTTGCGCGCGCGTCGCCAGAAGCATTCCTAACGGGCTACTGCAGACTTTTACCAACAGCTACCGTTGCTGACTCCATATTCAAGACCAGGTGGTGAGAAAGAATTAGCAACCAGAAAAGGATATGCCGAAGGAAATGGAGATGGGTAGGACACATGCTGAAAGGACTGTTGAATGAATTCTCACATTAGTCCCTTTGGAGGAATCCGAAGGGCAGGCGTCGAGTTGGGCGTCCATAGGTGACATGGCGAAGAAGGTCGTGTGAGCAGGAGATTAAGACAATTGTGGAATCAGCTAAACATGACTGTAGGGAACGAGACCAAATGCAGATTTGTTGCTGAAGCCGCATTTTACACCAGGAACCATAGGGTACATAATAAATAGTGTGTGTGTTATACTAGCACAGTGCTAAAAACCAAAAAATATCTATTGCGATGTTATACTTCGTAGATGGGGTCAAATAATTCAACTAAAGTGTATTTTAGACATCCAATCCAAATTCTTTTAGCATATGAATGTTGACCTTCCGTTTCACTCATCAATTCTATCCGCAATGGATGCTAAGTGCTGCACATAGTTCTATATATGACTTATTTAACATGGTTTTTCGTAGGAAGGTAGTTTTCAACTCTGAAGAGTTGTGTCTGGATCACGGTTTTTTTGGCATAATATGGAACCTAACAGCATCGTTGTTCAAATTATCGACAAGATTTGCATGAGGCAACTTTGTTTACATAACTTGTATTATTGCTTGTATTATTGGCAGCTTTATTTTTATCTCACAACTTTTTTATAACTATACAAACTACTTATAAGTAGGTGGATACTTACAACAAATTTTATTAAACGATTATTCATTTTTTTATTTTTAGGGTGAATCACAGAAAATTGTTCATTTGCTGAATGAATTTCAAACAGCTTATGTTGAACAGAATGCAACACGTGTGAAAACACAATTTCGTAGTTCAGATACTGTAATGATTTTAGCCTATGCCATCGTTATGCTGCATACTGATATGTACAGTCCAAATGTTCGACAACAATCAAAAATGACACGAGATGAATTTGTCAGGAATTTACGTGGTGTAGACTCTGGTAAGTAGTAGATTTTAAAAAGTTGAGCATCATTTTGCGGTCCATATTATTTAGTAAAGACAATGCGATCGATGTGTAAACCTACTTGAGGTAAATTGGGCGTCTCTACATCATTCCGGTATTGGGGTTAGATGTAATGACTTAGTATAAACACCAGTTTTTGATCATTCCATCAGTGATCTTTTCTTTACTGCTGCATTGGGAGGAAGGATGATTAGAGAGAGAGAGAGAAAGTCTATTGGATGTCTGATGCAAACTGGGATAGGAGAGTGTGTAACCGCCTTGCATTTACGGAACAACCGCTATAGTTTCATTTATCTTGGTCTCCCAATTATTCTACCGTTTTAAAAAGTTCTAGGTGTTACTGATATAATTACTCAAAAGTGGCTTTAGAAGTGGAAATTAAAAGTTGTAAATTACGTGGTACTCAACGGAATAAAGATAGAAATTTGATAAGGTTAAAATTGCTATTGAGTCAGAATAAAGGTATTTGAGTGTCAATTTAACAAGTGTGAAGAGGGTGTGAAAATATACAAAAGGAGCATATGAGAGTGATAATAGTGAATTAATTATTAAAGCAAAAGCAAACTAAAAGTAAGATTAAAAATTACAAAAAAGAAAAGAAAAAAGTCAAAATGTTTTTTTACAGGGAACGATTAGTGAGAAGGTTAAGACCAAGGTAGAATAAGAGACTGGACAAACTTTTTCTGTATACAGAGTTCAGGGTTGTATTGATGAATTGCCAGCGCCTCCGCCATACACAAAAGCCGAAACCTGACGCCCTTCGTACCATTTGGCTTCACTTTGTAGATGATCTTGAAAGACGACTCCGGTGGAGCTACGTGCCCTGAGTTCACCAAATGCTCGAGAATTGAGCTAGTAATTGTCTTGCACTGTCCCTTTGCTAACCATGCCGGATAATGTTCAGAGATGCGTTTGGAAAGCGTGCGCTTTGTGCGGCCAATATAACTAGCTCCACACGAGCAGGTGAATTTATAAACACACATTGAGGTGGCCCAAAGCGGCAGTTTATCCTTCACACATCCGTTGATCATTTGTCGGCTGTAGAAGTTGATACGTAGCTCAGCCATAAAGAAGGCTTTCCTCAGTGATCTGCATAAGCGATTCTTTAGGATCTCAGCTGCGGTATCACCTTTAAATTCAACACTCATAAATAGCAGTTTCTTTGGCACCGTCTGGATTCTTTCAGGCTTTTCCCTTAACTTCATGTTTTTCTCGATAAATCTTGGAGGATATCCATTCTCTATGAGGACCTGTCTGAGTCGCTCCAGTTCCCCATCGATTGTATCACTTGAACATATCCTCCTTATTCTTGAAGTTAAGGAATGGATCAGATTTCTCTTTCTTCTCAAAGGGACCCAGCTATGGAAATTTGTGTACTGACCATTCCATGTTGGTTTCCTGTAGATCGATCTTTGAAGAGAACCATCAGATCTCCTCTTTAGAAAAACATCCAAAAAATGGAATTCCGAGTTAATCTCTGATTCCGACGTGAACTTGATGGCAGCTGTTGAACTCTTTAGTTATCAATTCGATGTCGGTATTGTCGTCACATATGATGAAAGTATCATCCATGTATCTTTGGTACAGATGGAAACTGTCGATAGTAGGCCGTAAAATACTATTCTCCAAACTAGCCAAGAAGCAGTCTGCAAGTAAAGGACCCAATGGTGACCCCATTGCCACTCCATCTCTTTGTCTATAAATCGTGTTGTTGAACTTGAACTGGACATTTAGAGTGCGCCTCAATAGCAGTTCCTTTAAGTAGTGGATCGGAACACATACGTCTACATTATTATCCTCAATGAATTTGCATATAAAGCATATAGTTTCAGTGAGGGGAACGTTGGTGAAAAGCGAAGTAACATCCATGGATATCATTTTCTTCCCGGATACATTTGCATCACTTATTGAATCGACAAATTCAAACGAATCAGAAAGACTATGCTTGCAGAGGTTATTTCTGATAGGTAGGAGGATTTCTGCGAACCATTTGGCGGTAGCATGATATGGGGAATTTGTCATGTCCAAGATTGGACGTAGTGGCACGTTCTCTTTGTGCACTTTCGGCAGACCATATACACGGGGAATCACGGAACCAGAGGGTCGTATTTGCTCGAATAATTCAGAGCTGATAATCGATTCATTCTTCACCTTCTTCAGCATTTGAAATCTGATCCATTCCTTAACTTCAAGAATAAGGAGGATATGTTCAAGTGATACAATCGATGGGGAACTGGAGCGACTCAGACAGGTCCTCATAGAGAATGGATATCCTCCAAGATTTATCGAGAAAAACATGAAGTTAAGGGAAAAGCCTGAAAGAATCCAGACGGTGCCAAAGAAACTGCTATTTATGAGTGTTGAATTTAAAGGTGATACCGCAGCTGAGATCCTAAAGAATCGCTTATGCAGATCACTGAGGAAAGCATTCTTTATGGCTGAGCTACGTATCAACTTCTACAGCCGACAAATGATCAACGGATGTGTGAAGGATAAACTGCCGCTTTGGGCCACCTCAATGTGTGTTTATAAATTCACCTGCTCGTGTGGAGCCAGTTATATTGGCCGCACAAAGCCCACGCTTTCCAAACGCATCTCTGAACATTATCCGGCATGGTTAGCAAAGGGACAGTGCAAGACAATTACTAGCTCAATTCTCGAGCATTTGGTGAACTCAGGGCACGTAGCTCCACCGGAGTCGTCTTTCAAGATCATCTACAAAGTGAAGCCAAATGGTACGAAGGGCGTCAGGTTTCGGCTTTTGTGTATGGCGGAGGCGCTGGCAATTCATCAATACAACCCTGAACTCTGTATACAGAAAAAGTTTGTCCAGTCTCTTATTCTACCTTGGTCTTAACCTTTTCACTAATCGTTCCCTGTAAAAACATTTTGACTTTTTTCTTTTCTTTTTTGTAATTTTTAATCTTACTTTTAGTTTGCTTTTGCTTTAATAATTAATTCACTATTATCACTCTCATATGCTCCTTTTGTATATTTTCACACCCTCTTCACACTTGTTAAATTGACACTCAAATACCTTTATTCTAGGTGTTATTTTTGGAGCAATCACTATGGTTCTCAGTTACGGGGTTTTTAATTATTTTCTCTTTAAGGGACTGATGAGTGCACGTGTATTGTTATTTTCAGTAACTGCTTCATCCAGTCCATATATTTCCATAGTAGTTATAGAATAATGGTTATATATTTCCAAAGCAGGTTGACCTTTAACAGTTTAAAAAAATTTGGGCATTGGGTATATGCTATATTCATTATAATAAAGGCTTTTGTATTTCCTAATGAATGTAAAACAAAACGATATTGTTTTGTTTTTACTGACGTTTCGCTATTTAATGCTGCTGCTAATAGCCTTATCAAAGTATTATTATTAAACCAGAATTTACAAAATCTCAGCTTATACATATAGCAACATGAGGTAATTTTTATGTTCTTGTTAAGTTGGCCAATTGATAAAGATAACAAAACCACGTGTAGATTGTTGGATTTGATAAGTGTATACAATTATAAAAGCAACACGCGTTTGTTTACACATTCGTGTTGATTTTCTTATTTCATAGAGGAGGGGGGTGTTGTAACTAGGTGGTCAATTTCTGTTTTAGTCTATCATTCCTATTCACCAGACAATTTACATTCCATTTGATATGAAGTGCTTGTGATATTAGACGTTGTTTGTGTTTTCTGAATGATTTCAATATTGTCGAAAGCAATTTTGTGACTTGATTCTATAGCGTGTAGACGTATGGCTGATGATTATTCAAGCTTTTGTAGTTCAATTGGATTTCTCGGTAGTCGAAGAGATGCTCTACGGTGTTCATTTCTTCTGATTTCTCGGGATGTTTGAGCGATGCATACGGCATCACATTTCAAGCATCTTATTTTGTAGATACAGTTAGATTGAGAATGCTAAGGGATTTGGTCTTTTACATGAGCAAGGTTGCTTTGTAGTGTGTCTGATGTTTTGAAGAAAACTCTGATATTGTGCTTATTGAGAACTCTTCTGATATTGTTTGACGTTTCTGATCTATTTGGAATGACAACTGTTGAGGTCCATGTTTTCGACCATATTTAATGTCGGTGTTGATTTTCTTGATGAAGTTCTTTGGGTAGTTATTTTTGCTGAGAGTTTCAGTAATACTTTATATTTCTTCTTTTAATTTTCACCTCCGTTGTTAAAGAGTGTGCTCGTCTAAGTACACTTGAAACAAGCGGTACCTTTGCGCTGATGGGGTGTGATGATCCGGACTCTAAACATTTGTTGGATTGGGTTTTCTTCCTGAATATAGATGTATTAGAATATCCGTTTCCGCTTCTAGAAATGGTAGTTCCCCGACGTCTGATTCTGCTTCCGAAGTTAACTGGATGCTGGGAGATATTGTTCAATTTCTGCAAGAATGAATTGTGTAGATCTCGTTTTAGCATGACAAAAGTGTCACCAACGTATCTTGACCATATTTTAGGCGTGAGTATGCTTGAGAAGATGTTATCTTCCAATCTATTCATAAAAGGATCAGCGATTATAGGGGAAAAGAATAATGGTTACTGACAACCAACCTTCTTCCTTTCCTTGTTCAGAGTATTTTATTTCTAAAAGGCCTTGGGAATTCATTCCACCCTCGATATTTGATAGAAAAAGATCCTTCAATGCCGGACTAGGTGATCCAATATAGTTTTCACTACGTCTTTATTTAGCTATACTGTAAAGTGTTCTCAGCACAAAAAGAAACAAGTTCCTAGAACGATTGTCAATATTTTTTTATTGAACAAGAATTAGTGTACCGTATGTTGTGGCTATTTTAAGTGAAATCTATTATTGAAAGACAATAGGAAGTAGTGAAGGCTTTTTAATTGTACATTAAATTAATAACTTCACATGAGGCATTGTCAACAGCTATATAACATTAGTCAAGTTATCCAGAATGGGTAACTGAACGAATAGGTCTTTGAAGTAAAAACTGAAGGAAGACAAGGCTGCCTGCTATCAGCGATGATATTCCTAATTATGGTAGACTGGATTATGCACCAGACTGTGGGGAGTGAGAAGACAGGAATACAATGGACTGATAAGAAGTCTTTAGAAGATGTGAACTTCGCGGATGATTTATGTCCCATGTCACACAAACTCGAAGACATGCAGGTGGGCCAAAACCAACAGGTTGGCAGAAGAGGTAGATAGCGAAGATAGTACTTCAAGTGAACATAGAGAAGATATAGGTGGTGAAGGTAATTAACCAACCACAACAAGACCATCACTATCAACGTGAGAAACTTGAAAGAGGTTACTCCTTCATATATCTATTCAGCATAGTTTCAACTACAGGCGAAAGAACTAATGACGATGTGAAAACCAGGATCGGAAAGGCAAGAAAGTCCATTGTCACTCTGAAATCAGTTTGGAAATCTTCTACACTCAGCGTGGAGAACAAAATTCGCATTTTCAACACCAGTGTTAAGTCAGTCAGTTGTTCTGTTTGTTTCGAAAACTTGGAGCTCCCGCCTGGAAAATCATTACGAACGGCTGCCTTTGCTCAGTACTGAAGATCACATAGCCAGTCACAAAGAATTAGCCTCAAGGAACTCTGGAAACGAACAAACCAAGAAATTATTGCTCAAGAAATATGCCGAAGAAAATGGAGATGGATAGGGACACACACAGTCAGAAGAGACCACCGAATGACATCGCCTGTCAGGTCATTGCTCGAGTGGAACCCGAACGGTAAACAACAAGTTGGGCGTCTGATAATGACATGGAGGAGATGAAAGTTTATGGACAATCGTGGGGGGGGGGCGCTAAACAGGACCAGACAAAGTGGAGATGTGCGGTTGTTCCACTCGGAACCCATGGGAAAATAATATAGTAACAATAATCAACACCAATATAGGAAACTGTCAAGCGGTGCTATTAGCTTATCTATTTAAAAGTTCGCAATTTATTTATTTATTTTTTGTTTTTAAACTTTTTTTATTTTTAGTTTTTAAATTTTCGAGATTGTCTTGTGCTAATGCTTCACATGTTTAATGGTTATTAACATGCGCATTAGTTATATATGAATATTTTTATTTACAGTTTAACATTCCAGTATTGTTATTATTAGCATAGTGAATCGGTGAAATGTATTGATTAATCATGAGAGAGAGAGAGAAATTAACTTCAACATCCATGTGATCTTATACAATGTTAATAATTACATATGCATCTTCTGTTAATGTAATTTTGCTGCTGTTATATTGTTCGATAATAATAAAAGTATCAATTTCAATTGGGATGGAGGTAAACTTAAACCTGAAGCATGAGAACATGATATACAAGCAAACTGAAAGTGTTGTTGTTATGTAATATACAAGTGGTTTGCAAATAATGGAAGTCAATTTTACTGTATGTATCATACTCAAATAATACGAAAAGGAGGAATCGTTGTACTTTTGTTGAAGTTCCATTAGTCGGAACAGATTTATTATGTAACAGTCTAAGAGCTACACTTATCGTGCAGGTGCTGGTGATACTATCCAGTTTCCCTCCAGGCTGAATTAGGCGCAGCCAGACTCGAATCCGTGTCCCATCCGGTGGAAAAACGTGTGCTAAAGCCATTGAGCCGCATCTGTATATACATTTAGACTCCTTTGGTTGTTGTCAAACAGAAATGGAAGTTGTAATGCGCGTTTTTCCCTTCGTGAGCCTGTATTTCACTGATGACATTGTTGTAGGGACTCGAACTTAGCACTGCTACCCGATATAGATGTTTAATTCAAGTGTTATGAGAATACCTGTAATCATCAGGGAGAGAATATTTGTTGCTTGATTTTACAAAGTTCTCTTGTTTATATACTGGACAAAGAATTCCTTAAAACAACTGTGTTTTTCGTTTTGTCGCATTCCCCACCCTCTCCTCATAGGTGAAGATTTAGATCGAGATTTACTAATCGGTATATACAATCGAATGAAATCAAAGGAAATGTCTGTTCAGTCGGATCATACTGATCAGGTGCGTAAAATACAACAACATCTCACTGGTCCCCTGAAACCGTTGAATCTTTCAGTACCTCAAAGAAGATTAGTATGTTACTGTCGACTCTATGAGGTTAGTTCAGTTTTTCTTGTTTATTATGCGAAATGGCTTTTTTGTATTATATTGACACATATCTCTCTCTAGTGTATCCTCCTGTGTTGGACGCCTTTCGGGGAAAGGTTTTGGCACACTTCATGGATCATTGTTTTCCTGTATTGTCCGGGTGTTAGTGAACTCATGGGAATGTACATCCGACAGATAAAGTCCGAGGATATTGTCAGAAAATAATGAATTATTACTCCCTTGGGTTTAGAATGACATAGGGCTTCTGCAGCACACCTCGATTTTACCCGGTTCTCTGAAGTCTCTTTTGTCTGAAGAGAGAAAGAACGAACTTGTTTGCCGGATAATACGAGCTCGTTTTATTTCGTGGATACTTATCAACTGCATACATCCTAAACAAATCAAATTATAAGTTTCAAAAATTTGTGGAACACACTTTTTCATAATTACTTTGAGTTATAGATAGAAGGCATAAGGAACATAATTCCAGAATTTGATGTAGGTAGACAGATTATTCGGTGTCAAAAAACAACTAGTTATATATAGTGGAATTAGATAAGAAGGGTAAGAGTTCAAATTTCTATTGGAAAACACAGATTGGTTAGAGGCATATTACAGGGTCAGAGTCAGAGAACAGAGTGAATTTACACATCTTGTAGTGGAGAGTTTAAGAGGGTGGGGGTGAATAGTGAAGTAACATTTCTAACTTAAACAGACAATTAAGTAGATTTAGAAACTTGAAGGTCAAAATTGAATAGAATGTTACGTAACAAGACAAACACACAGGTATACACAAGGAAACCCATGGCTACTTCGCTTCGCAGAAGCCATTGCTATCAAGAGATTTCGACCAGACCTCTGTATACTGAAAGATAGTGTGATTAATCTTTCACTATCTTGGTAACCCTAACTTTATTTTATTTTGTTTTGCCTTTCTGTCAGTATGCCTGTAGAATTTATTGCTCATAATCATATCAATTTAGTCACACGGATCTATGATTTGCTTTATACATGTATTTGCCTCCCTCTCTCGTTTTTCGTTGCCAATTTCCAGTGCATCATTTCGACATGATATATATAATAATATAATTTACCAAATACCATGCAATTAATGACTGTGAGGTCAATTACATAGGTCGAATTAGTAGATTAGAGTCAATTATGTTATCGGAACATAAAAATTTAGAAGGTCAGAGACAGACTATTTGTTTATATAGTTTATTGCATTCCATTCACTTGCATGTAATCAGTCACACAATAGGGTGGGTGGGACAGGGTGAGAGTGATATAGTTAGGTGGAGACAGAGAGAGAGAGGTTGATCACTGAAGCTTTGATTACCGATTCAACACTGCACACGTGCAGTCGAAATGACGCAACGCCTATACCGGAGATATGGAAAGTGGCAACAAACAACGTGAGGAAGCGAGAGAGAGACAGAGGGAAAAATACGTGTATAAAGCTAATCATAGAGTCGAGTGACTAAAATTGATATGATTATGAGCAATAAATTCTGCTTGAAACCTTGTCATCCAGTGATTAATACTGTATCACTGTGAAATATTTGAAATCAACTTATCTTGTTCCTTATGTTGAGTATAGCAGACTTCAGATCTGTCTTTCGCTTGTGATCTTGACTGGCTTTAACATTCTCATCCGTGCCGCCTGTGGTTGAAATTATGCTGCCTTGTTAAGTCAAAGAATTGTGTTCCTCCAGATTACCGCGGTTATTGACCAGTTAAATAAATAAAGTATAACGTTTGCACCCTTTGAACAAAAATGCATAACTGGTGCCTAAGTAACAAGCTTATAAACTGCATATATTTAATCTTTAAGACGATTATGATAAATCGATTTTTCCAATGGTTCTCTAAATGATGTCAGCTCATGATGAAATCCTTCAACCAATCAAACAAAATCCCTACAAAAACCAATACTTGAAAAATTGATCTGATGCTCACTAGCGACTGGCCCTATCTATTCAGGCGGTGACCTAGGGTTCTAGTGGGAAACCGTGACCAGTAGGGTGAAACAGGTTGATGGTGAGGCAGTAACTCATCGAAGAAGACATTGAGAAGTGGTTGCGCTAGGTCATGAATTGACAGAAGTTAGAATTCATGCATCGGCCATTGGATCAGGTTCCAGTGGCCTAATGGTCTACGAGCTAGCTCGCCTTGTAACCAGAAGGTCCTGGGTTCGAACCCCCTTGTGCATACTAAAAGAGTCCCAAACTAGGATGGAGGAAACAGCTGGCTGTCGAGTACTCCCAGGTGGTTTTCCAATGGTTCTCTAACTGATGTCAGCTCATGATGAAATCCTCCAACCAATCAATCAAACAAAATCCCTACAAAAATCAATACTTGATAAATTAATTTTGTCTGTGTTTTTTTCTTCTCCTCTAGGTACCAGATAAAAATAAACGTGAACGATCTGGTGCACATCAACGTGAATTATTCCTTTTCAATGATCTCCTACTGATAACTAAAGCTGTTCAAAAACGACGTAAAGATGCAGCTGTCGCCTATCAAGTACGCATGACAATTCAACTGTTAGGCGTAAAATTAGTACCATTTGAAACTATTCATCATACAAATGGTTTAGAATTATTGCTACCACTGGGACAGACAACACAGAGTGTAGATTCACAGAAGGATAACAGCAGTATTATTGTTGAAACACCCAATGGTCGAGCACGTATTCTAGCCACCTTCAATACTAAAACTGCTTCTGATCGAGCAAGATTAATGGAAGATTTACAAGAATGTATTCTAGAAGTTACAGAAATGGAACGTCTAAGAATGGAGGAGATATCAAAACAGAAACATAATCATGCACATCATCATTGCTACAAGTCACGAGTGGAGAGTGCAGAACAATTCACGAAATGTGGCGTGGCAGTGGTGGTAATATGATATTGGATCAGTCGAGTTCATCGTTTGACTCCAGTACTAGTGTTCATAATAATAATAGTGAGAAATCAATGAGTCATAAATATGATTGTACTGCTAATAATGCCTTACAAATGTGTGCACCAATAACATGTTTAACAAATTCTACAGATTTCAATGATGCAACAGAGCACAGCAAACAACATTGTCATCAATACAAATCTCAAGATGGTCAACGGCTAAGCGGGGACAGTGGTCTGATGGTTGATTTGGATACTCCACCATCATAGATATTTTCCCTTTTTTGATTTTTATGATAGGAGTGTGAAATTCCACCTTTTTTCCCCTTAATTTTCCCATTGGCCTATTGTTTACACACATTATTGGTTTATAAATTATGATGATCGCTACAGAAGAAATTAGGTGGGGTGTTTTGATCGCTGTATATTAATTAACCTTCTTCCGATTTATACATACATATATATAATTCATAACACTTGTCCTGTCTGCATGATTCAACGTATATATACGCGCATACATATAAGGGCTTATAGACTGTGATATTATTTTCTATTGACAAAGTAATTCTTTCATAATGTTGTCTCTTTCTCTCTCTCTAACTTTCTGGGGTTAATCAATATTTGGGAAAGAAGTCAGAAATTTTCACTGGTATTCATTTAATCAATAAAAGTTTCTTTCCTCGCTAAAATGATGTTTTATAATGTATGATATGATATTGTTTAAAGAGGTGGCCGGGGGGGGGTGGAGAAGGGTGTTCGAAGTAAGAGTTCATGATATGACGACGGGGATTAACTTAATTGATTAGGTTTCATTATAACGAAGTAGGTGTCATGTGGAAATGATCTAGGAGAATGCAATGAAGAGAGTATTTGGTGGTGATCTTCGGAATCCAAAGTAATTTGAATTTTTCTGAGTATTTGAGCATTAGGTCATGAGGGCATTTTAAAGAAGAGAATAGTGACCACATTACTCGGTCAGATATAGGTCACGTTGTCAAGTCAATCGTTTTGTGAAACAGCATTTTCTTATTGTGGAACTGGGGGTGGTACTAAAGCTGGAACTGCTGAAAAAGTGATGTGATTCGGCCCTGCCAAATAAATGCTGGAAGGCTGATCTGCATCAACTCTTAGTTTAAAGAGAGGGAGTGAAGACTCTGAGGGTGTTGAACATTTCACTAATTAATTTTGGGAAGTTGTATCACTCTGACTGGTGACAAAATCCCAGTTCGCATAAAGTGACTCGTTTAGAATTTTCGAACTTATGTCATCTTTGGCTATCGATCAAATGATGTGTGTGCTGCCTAACTGTTCGTTATGTCCTTCCTCATGCCTGTGAGACATGGTAGATAACTCTTCAAGACTTGAAGATGCTAGCTGTCTTTTAAATCATAGGTAGTTATGTTCTATATCTCATGTGAACTCGTGTAAGATACTGAGTAAAACGAATGTTAGAAGGAGTTGCATCGGTATGTGTTGGACATGACAAGTCGACGCTTTTCTTATGGAGCAATGTAAGTTGACATCGAATTAGGTCGGAAAAATGAGAAGGGGATTCTGGTGAAAACCTAGCACCAATTCAAGAAGGTGTAGACTGAATGGCTGGGGATAATCAGTTAGAGGTATGACTCCCATTCGGGGAGTATCTTAATTCTATTAGGCTTGGTTATAAGGAAGTAGACGTCATGCGGAAATGATCAAGAATGCGGTGAAGCGACTATCTAGTGAAGTTTGAACCCCAATTTAATTCCTATATTTTCAAGAGTTCGTTTGTAGGGAATTAATTAAAGTTTGATCATGGATTAATGTCAGTTAGAGACCATTCAACCACTGGGACCCGACTCCCATGAATTGTAATTTCATCCAGTTTGTGATTTTAGCGCGCGCCTGGTACTAGACAACAACATCAGCAAATATTTGTCCTCAATTCCGACCGGGTGGACCCCATTGGCCATAAGTTCTAACTAGAACTACATCGTGCAGACAGACACTAGCGACCATCGGATTCCTATATTGTCGTGTAGGTGTTTTCAAGATGGGGACAGCAATCACTTTACTGTATCATTAATTCACAAACGCCTTACCTAACTACGCTTTCGAAATCATGTTCAGAGAAATGTTTACGTCAAAGACCACATATAGTTCTACTCTGGTTTGTTTGATACCTCTGCAGGTCGTAGGCATAGCTGCGGAAGTAGTTGAATTATGATACAGGCACATCAAACACTAGCTTAAGAAATCCAGTTTTCTGGTGTGTTCAAGCTGATAGGTATCTTCAGTAAGTTATCATCAAGCTTTACAATTACTCAGTAAAGTATTAGTCACAGATGTCCGAAAGCATTGTGGATCAATAGACTCAAATATAACCAGGGAGAATTTGAAGTAGAGGAATGATAATAATAAGTTGTGAAACTAAGATTAAAATGTGCAAATATTGCATAGAATGATAATGAAGTTAGCAGTACAGCTATCTAGTGTCACTGAGGGAGAGATAACTATTTTCGGTTGGGGTTGAAGGCCATAAGGAGGGAGAGCGATTGGATAAACCTTTGCTGAACATAAAAATTTGCGTCCAAAATATTTTATGGCGACTACCTCAGCTATGCTTAGCAATCGGTGGTGGCACTTTATGTAGAATTGTGAAAGCTGAATTTCTATCAAGTATTGTCCTTCTCTGTTTTGTAAATGAGCTCAATTTGTGGATTTATTCTTATGCAAGCTAAAAGTATCTACGCAAGAACGATAGTTCGTTGACTGAATTTTCCCCTCAGGCATATCAGCTAAGAGAGGACTCAGAAGGGAGCCCATTGCTACACCTTCAAATTGAAGATAGATTTCCTTGTTAAACTGATGCTGCACATTCATCGTACAACGGAAGTAGCAGTTCCCGTAGTGTTTGAGGTGGTATACGTACGTGGATATCATCTTCTATACGAGATTCACAGATGAAGTCGATGGTCTCTAATAAAGTGACTCTCATAGACGTAACTGTTTCATCACTGATCATCTTATCTCTCAGTTTTTGTATAAATTCGGAAGTGTGCTTCAAGCTTTACCTAGCCACTTTTATGTACAGTGGTTCAAGTGTGTCTTCCAGCCATCTAGTTACTTCATGATATAATAGCTTAAAGATATCTGATATTCATCTCAATGGCACACGGCTTACGAATTTTAGGTAGCCTGTACAATCTGGGTATATTTGTTCCTAAAGGTTTTATACGTTCGAGAATTTGGGGAGACACTATATTACTGGATGTCACAGATTTCAGTATCTTTCTTTTCTACTTTATCTGCATTATACTTACCGTCACGTAGATTTTCCGGATTTTGATCTCATCGCTGTAGTCAGCTCTATCTAATAGTACGACCCCAGTCCCCATATCAGAATGTTTTCGTTTGATCAGATTGTCTTTAAAGCTTCAATCTAAGCTTGGCTGAGGATACTTTTCTCAGTACACTTTCTTCAGTGATATTGGTGAAAATTCTCAACAAGAGGGGCTTTTACTTCTTCTAAATGTAATTGAGATGATGGGAATATGTCATTTGTTTGACGGAAAATGTTTTTTTCAAACAGTAATTCAGTTTCTCCTCTTGTTGGACGATACTTTGATTGGACACTAGTAACTAGTGTGATGTGTCCAGTGCTTTCTTTAGTGCAGACTGAATTCTATCAGTCAGGTTTGCAGTGTGGCCACCATTCTAGGTAGCTCGCCATCACAGTGCACATTGATTTGATGATATCAGATGGTTGGAGGCAATCGCCAGGGCCTTGGTTTCGTGATATCATATTGCAAACCTGACTGATAGAATTCAGTCTGCACTAAAGAAAGGACTAGACACATCATACTAGTTACTAGTGTCCAATCAAAGTATCCACTACAGTCCTACAGGAGGTTAATCGCGAGCCCGAATAGCTCAGTGGTAACGTCTATGACTGCAGTACTCACTGGGTGATGCGGGTTCGAGTCTCAGCAGGGACATGAGTTCCTTCAAGGTTGCAGATACGCCTTGCTGACGGAGTGCCAACTAGCACGAAACCTAAGTCCAAGGCTTCCTGCCGATTGCCTCCAACCATCTAATATCATTGTTGGACGGTTTACGCCATTACAAAACTTTGAATGTAGTGACAACACTTCTAGTTTTAAAATGGAGTGAGGTAGAAAATATGAAAACATGGTCACTCGAAGAAAATGTACCCATCAAGTCATTCTCATGGCAATATCAAAAGCCTCACCAGAGAACAGGTGTATAGTGGTGATATTTGGCTCGTAAGTACTAGAATGTAGAATACAGAAAATCATAGTCATTGGCAATTGGGTGGAATAGGCGTACAGAAATTATACCACAGTAAAATTTGTGTGAATGATAAACCAAAGTGAAACAATTCACAGAAATGCTCCAGACCGAGTTTACACCAGAGAGGACTACTCTTATGTCTTCCAACTTTCACTTACGTTCATACTGATTATTGAGTAAATGCAGCGCCTCGGTATGCATGCACAGCCTGGCTACTCACGTCGATGCACAGACTAACCTGCAAATCGATTCCGTATAGAATATTGCGGTATGTATATATTTCAAGGGTGTTGTACCTGCTCTCCTGTTCTTATTTACACGACAACGCAAACACCAAAATATACATATATTTACTTTGAGGGAGCGCGAAAGGATTATTACAGTCAAGTGTTGCCTGTGACAGGATTGTTATAGTTGAAAGCGATTGATTCACATATAATCTGTCGACTTAAGAAGTACATTAGGCAACAACCAATAGGAAGTGAGGAATTGTTATAGAATAACTGTTAACATCAACAACACTGGCTGTTAGAAATAGAAACTGGCCGTAAAATTAAAAAAACAACAACATAGTTTCAAGAAAGTAAATTCTTATATAATTAAAGAAATCTTGAGCAGTAAACTGCATAAAATTACTAAACAATAAGTAAAAAAAAACCGCCTTTGCATAAAAGGCGAAGGTTTCAATATCATATTAGGTAAAAAGCAAGTCATTCATATGGATGAAAAAATCGATTAGCATATTCCATGGTCTGACAGCAATTTATTATGCTTAATCAAGAATTTTAGGATTTACAGAAGCACAAGTTGTCATCATTAGTCTGGGAAGTGGAAAACAGACATCTGAATCGGAAATGATATGATAGTTCACTTTCTCTTAAGACGTGCTAATCGAGCTTCCAAGTCATTTTCATCAATAGTGTCAGTGGAGCCAGAGGCAGGAGGGTTTTCAATAGTTGAGATACCATCTGTAGCAACAGCGCGAGGTTTCAGTGGATTTGCGACTGCACCACTGCCAACGGTATCCTTGGCTGTTGGGAGATCACTAAGCTGGGCATTGAGGTCGATTCCGAGCTCTTCAAGAACCTAATATTAAAAGAGGGAAGCAAAGAAGAAGACATGTTAGTTTACTGAAGATGCTACTACAGTTGGGATTACTAAAAAAAGTGATGCGATTCCGCCTTGCCAAATAAATGGAAGATGATGCTGCAAGGCTGATCTGTATCAACTCTTAGTTTAAAGAGAGGAAGTTCTTATTCAACTGAATAGTGAGAAAATCTCAACTCTGATAAAATGGCTCGTTTGTTGTTTGCCAACTTACGTCATCTCCAGCTATCGATCAAAGGATGTATGCACTGCGGAGCAGTTCATTCTGTGTTTGCTTATGAATGAGATGTAGCCGTCTAAGGTTGAAGGGGCTAGCCGTCTTTGATCATAGGTGATTGAGTTCTATAACTCGTGTTGAATCGTGTAGTATATTGAGTAAAACTAAAGTTAGACGTAGTGTTAGGTAAGGAGGGACATTCAATCAGTGAAGTTGCGCACTGATCAAGATATCTTGGATATGTGTTACGCACGACAAGTCATCGCCTTTCTAATGGAGCAATGTAAGTTGACATCGGATTAAGTTGGAAAAATGACAGGGGTATTCCGGTGAAAAAGTAGCACCAATTCACGAAGGTGTAGACTGCATGGCTGGGGTTCTCCAGACGCTGTGCACATCAATAGTGAAAATACATTCACCCCTTTATGAAGTCGTAGACGCCTTATTCATTGTTCACTAATTCTTCTCCAGGTGCCTGCTTTTTCGCTCGGACATTTCTGTTTATTACAATTCCTTTGAATATTCACCTTTCTTAAATCTTTAAAATGAATATGATACTAAATGTCTATATCAATGTGTGTTGCATCAAATACTCTCATCTAGTATGTAATGATAACATACCCTATTGCCTTAATTTCACCCTTACATTAATTAGGCTTACATATTGTTGTTTCAATCATTTGAGTGCATACAAATTAACATTCAAGAATATCTCGAAAAATGTAGTCTAGCTTATTCGTCGCCTTCCTCAACAAGCAATGTTAACTGACATAGGATTACGTTGGAAAAGAGTTAAGGATGGTCAAACTTGGCATTAACACATGAAGTCTTAGAGTATTGCTGTGAGTCACGTTTGGAGGCGTAAAGTGTCTACCTGAGACACTAAGAATCAATGGTAGTAGATTGTTATTGATACGGCACAAAATCACTCTCAATGGTGTATATGCACTCACTCTTCATGATATCACATATTCATCAAACCCTCCGTACTCTCTATGTACCTATTCTATTTCCTTTCAGTTTTTGCTTTCTTTTTGCTTTAAAAAATTGTTGAAATGATGCACTTTTGTCCAGATTTTTACGTGAGTCAGACATATACTAACTTGTATTATTTTTATCTATTTCTGAGGAGACCGTTGAGGACCATATCACTTGCTCTATGCCAAAAAGCTGAATTCCATCTGATAGTACTTAGCAGCTTAATCGCTCGACTCCCAGATGATTGACTGTGTATTCGAATTTTGCTTCAGGGTTAATGGTGTACTGTCAGGGTGAAAAGCAGTACTAAGTGGAGAACCTCAGGGAAGTGTACTTGGCCCCCTGCTATTCCTATTATACGTAGATGAAGTGCCGAAAATGCTTATCTCATCTTCCTTACTATTTGCGGGCGATATTAAGATAAGTAAATAGTAACGATGATAGGTTGGTACTACAAAACGATCTAGATAAATTAGCCGAATGGGCTAACCTTTGGAGTCTGAAAATTAATTCCAAGAAAAGCGCGGAAATGCACCTAGGCCAGAAGTCTTACACGTCGTACTCCATGGGGGACACAGAATTGCCAGATGTTAGGGGACAAAAGGACTTAGGGATTATTGTAAGCCATGACTTAAAAACAACGGCAAATTGTAATCGAGCCGCAGCTAAGGCTTTTCGAATGCTATAGGCACTTCGAAGGGCTTTCAAGCGATTAGACGAGGGTATGTTCCAAGTACTCCATGCAACATATGTCAGACCTCATCTAGAGTACTGCCTACAAGCGGAGAGTCCATGCTTCAAAAAGGGGGCACCTATCCTGGAAAGAGTACAGAGGGTAGGAAAGAAATTAGTTAGTGGTTTCTCACACCTTCCTTATGATATGAGAATGAAGCATTTAAATCTCTTCTCATTATCATGCCGAAGGAGGAGAGGTGGCTTAGTTTTGGCATACCGTATATTAAAGGGTGATTTAAGGATTGACCTTTCAAATCTTTTCTCTCCCTCTAGGATACATTTACGAGTACACCACAAGAAGGTGTTCAAACTGAGGTCGAAGAAAATACGTGTGGAATTTAGATTATTTCGCAGAGTGGTCAATAACTGGAACTCTTTACCTAATTAAGTAGTAACAGCTCCATCGGTGAACGGTTTCAAAGGGAAACTGGATCTCTGCAGAGATATATATAGCGAGGATTAACATAGGCAACAAGAGCCTTTTATCCTTATAATCTGAATCTGGGTGAGTAATTGTGTGGTACCATTAGTTATCACACAGCAATTGCGGTTCCTAGCACAGTACCGCGTGAATGAGTAGCAAACAACAACTGATAAAATAATATAGAAAATTACACAGAGTTTGACAGCCCAAACAAATTTACTTTAACCCTTAAACCAACCTTGTTCACGATGTTTTCAGAATCATCAACATCAGTATCTTCTCCTATGGCATCATCGATTACGTCGTTCATCATTTCTTCCTTCATTTCCATCATTTCAGTTTGCTTTTCAAACTCCATCATGATTCTTTGGACCTGTGGCAACTGCATGGATGCGTTCATTCGTCTCATCGCCACTGTAACTTGCTTCATAGCGTTAGCCATCGTTGCACTTGATTTTATGGTTTGAACTTTCATTGATAAAGCCTATATCAGAAATTATTTCACTATTATATTCAACAAACTGTTAAATTGGAGTGCATTAGTGAGAATTTCTTGATATAGTTATCCATTCGAACAATCTGTTTAGCTCTCACTCTCACAGCATCTATCTGCCCCTTCTTTGCTAACATTCGGATTTCATTTGTAATTTTAACACGATCTCTTTCTAGTTGGGTTTTCTCTCTCTCGATTTCCCTTGTTGCTCGAGCTATAGCTCTTTTGTTGTCTCTGAGTTGCTCTTCAGGTGTTTTTCTTGATCCAAATAGAAAACTCATAATAGTAAATTTATGGAAGTGACCAAAAATGTGTCACCAAGTTTCAAATTCCCACCAGATTCAATGTTCAAGCAATTAGCTGCCAGGTTATTCGCTAGTTTATAATACTTGGACGCTATGAATTACAAAATCTTCTATCTGATACATATATATGGTTGATTTTTTTCAAAAAAATGCGAAAATTAATTAATATATTTTCGTGAGCTTTGTTTGTTCGGTTTGTAAGGTTGTTGCAGGTTTAAATGATTTGAGCATGTTGGGCGATAAGGAGCAAGTTGACAAGCATGTACGTCACCTTCTTGCCAAGTGCTGCAGTTTAAATGAAGTAAGAATGGCATCTATTTTATTTTATGGGCATAGCGAAAGCTGAAGGCACTTGAAATTGCTAAGCTCTACTATGGAGTCAATCAGTTTGTAACTGCGAAAAGGTTAGTGCGAAGTAACTCCAATTTATACCGTAGTTACGTTGAGGGTTACCTTGAAGTTAGACCTGATTCTGTGCCTGCGCTTTTGTTGCAAGCGAAAATTAACGAAGACTTAGACAATTTATCTGCTGCATTATCAGCATACAAGAAGGTGTTGTCTCTGTCTTCTTCGGATAAAACAACAATACTTCATGGTTTGTATTTTCTTTCTGTTTATTGAACAAATTAGCATGTTCTCTAGCCTTAGAGTCCAAGGATGCTTCAGAGGTTGAGGTAACTCTCATTGTTTTTACTTCTGATTTATAGTTTTGGTCCGAAGTTTCGGAAGATATGTTTCCTTCAGAGAAAATTACTTTTATGCTAAAGGTACCACTCACTTTTTAAAATTTATGGCCTTAGGAAAAAGTATTATCCAGTAAGAACGAAAACTCTGCACTATTGAAGCTTTTAAAGTCCCAGCTAGTATGTTAAATGGTTTTTTTAATACTTATCTTCCAAGCAAAAAGATGAAAGTGACTCAGAGGTTTGCATTAAACTCTTTAAACTGCTTCACTCATCGGGATCACCTTCTAATGCATTTACACATTGTTTGCGCTGCATTAATGCTGGACATCATTTTGGCATTGCTAGCTGGTTTCATGAATGCTTGAGTTTTTTAGAGGTGAGTGTTTTACTTACTCCTGATTTTAATTTATTTAGAGTTTTAATCTGGTTAGCATTAATGAAAATATACCTGAACAGTCTTTGTCCTCGGTTCATGCAGTGTGTTTGATGGAGTTGATTCGCGTTACATCTCAAACTTCATGTCTATCTGACATACGTGATCTGCTTGCCAAATTGGAAGTCATATCTCATGAACTCAGTAAATCTCAGTCTGGGATTTTAAATGCTCTATACAAGTTCACTGTTGTGTGGCTTGATTTTTATGGTGGAGTATATGTGCAGCGTCGTCTGCTAGATTCGTCTGCTGAGGTTAGTGTCTTTTCAGTTTGTTTTTAGGTATACTTACGATTATAATATAAGTTTATTCATTCTGTCTCATTGGTTTATGGCCTTACAAATCGTAATACTTTCACAACTAATCAAGATTTAGCACTTTCCCCAATATCACTTGTGCATGAAAGAAGAAAAGTTTATGAATTGTCTCCTAATGCGCTAAACCTTAATGTATTTATTAGCAATTTCATGTAGGAGTATGTGAGATGTCTTTTGCTCTAAATATCACTTGTCATAACTAGGATTAAAGAGAAAACAGATCTTAATAAAGTCATAACAAGTGAAATGTTTTCCCGCATAGAAAGATCTCATACTTTTATAAATGCTGACCTCAAATACTGATAGGTGCAGCCAGTCTGAAAGTGTGACAGTTACCCACCGTTTAACATCGATATTGGTTCTTCGAATGTAGTCGAGTTTGAAAATGCCGTTTCTGGCATAGAAGACCTTGTAGCGAGATGTAATGGGACTGAAAAATATACACACATCAAAAACTGCCCGCTTTTCGGAGTCAGTCAGTTAGTCACACAGATCTGCCCATGTTATTCTTATTCATATGTTGCCAGATTTTCCAACTAAATGGCTAATGAAGTCATCATTATTGATTTGTGTTTTCCTCTAGTTTGGCATTCTTTTGCCTAAGTTATTAGATTTTATGGTAGCCTTTTCATTTATCGTATGCATGTCGTTATCAAATGTAGTGTATCTTGTTGGGCGTCGAATGAAAAGTAGATACACAGAAAGTTATATTTGTAGATATCTCATCGGAACTGAAATAACTCGACTTTCCAATATCACTGAGATTCTCACAACTTAAATGTTTTATATCATGAAGTGTTGTAAGCTTATGGTTAACATATATTTCACCTGTGTTTTTCTTAAGCCTTTAGATAACTTTCAGTACTCCCTGGTATATCACTTTTACAAACGCGTAATTACCAACCAACAGCCTCAGATTTTCCATGGATCTTCAAGTCTTTCTGCCTTGGTGTGGTCTCATCTTTATCGGGAGAGTTTCTCACTTCGCATTCAGGCAGGTCATTTGGTGCAGTTGTTTACATCCTTTCGGAACAATATGAGATCTGAACAATATCAAACTGTCAACTTTCAGTCATTACCTTGGAAACAGCTGATGGATTGGGTTGATGGCAGTCCAGTACCTGATAGCATTAAATCCCATGCGTTTGATTTTAACGCGGATAAAAGCTACACTTTTGACATCTTTGATGCAAAGAATTGTATTCTAGGTGAGCTTCAATTACGTGCTGTTGAAATGACTGCTTATTTTAAGTAACATCTTGCGCTTTGCTGTCGTAACTAACGTTATTTGGAAAATTCTTCTTACATCATCATGTGTTTCTCATTTAGTGGAGAGTCAATGCATTTAAAGAGATTATCCATTGCAGTCCGGTAGCAATATGAAAACCTTTTCAAACAAAGGAGCTATCTTATTCTGATTTTGTGTTCTTCAGCTCTGAGTACCTCATGACTTGATACTAGGTAATTGCAGCGAATTCGATGGAGGTTGGAAAAAATTAATCACTGCATTCCCTATCACTAGTTAAATAGTATTATTTTTTTTCTGCAAAGCATATCTATAAACCGGATTTCACATGTAATTATTGTCTAGTCAGTTACCCAGCTCTTATTACATTTCACGTTTCTCTCTCTATTGTCAGTCTTTGGTGACATATAACATATTACAATGTCTTGCCGTTTCAACTGACTAACTGACTGATTTCAACATAGGATTTTGCACAGATGTGCAGCGGTTGGAGCTGCTGTTTCAAACGTGGATTTAACTAGAACCTGAAGGTTTTCTTTCTTCTGATTAAGATTAATAGTGGAGATGTGGCTTTAATAGCTTAAGCAACTTAGCTTACTTACAATCAGTCGGTCGGTCGGTTTTCGACATATGTGCGACAGTTCAAGTCGCCACACTGCATGTAGCATACAAAGGAAGAGAAAAAAGCAGGAGAAATGCATAATATAGACAGTAAACAGAGGTGTGAGACAAAGGAATAGTAATAACGGAGAACAAAACAGTTTCATTGGAAATCATGAGTCACAAGGAATGGATGTATCTGCGCCACTGAGAATGATTTTGAGCCATGTCACCAATTGTTTCCAACCATTGGTTTTTACCGTCAATGGGTTTCGGGTTTGAGTTTCGCTCCGCCTGGTTAGTATCGTCAACCCTTGTACAATAAGTGTAGCTTATAGCCTTGATGTTGGGGGCAAATGGAATATTTATTTGTAAATTCATACAGTTATTCCCCTTGATACGCTTGAACAAAGCAAGAAGAATGAATTGAACAGCAGTCAACCATGATTCATTTTAATATCAATATACAAAGTATTCAAATACTTCAGTTATTGATCGTAAAGGGGAAGGCTGTTGATGTCATTTGATTAAGTAGCATCATAGAGAGGAGTAAATTCACTGTTAAGCTCGTTAGTATGTATAGAAATTATTAAGGAATATTCTAGAACTACGAACGTTACAAACTGAACAGAGGTGTAAAACCAATAGTACATTTATGTCAGGGTGAAATAATTTGGTGTTTTCAGTCGGTGTCGTTTGACTTAATTGTCATTATAATCTGATATGAATAGTCTGCTTTCTTAGTGTCAACTAGTTTTACTAATTGTTCGCTAATATGGATATCAGGAATAGGCACCTTAAGTTATCAGATAGCATCAAGTGTTGAATTTTACCGCCTATTTATACATCATTTTTTGATTTATTCCTTTACATCCCAAGTGGAACATAGAGTTTCAAGCTAGGGCTTTGAAGTTTCGGTAGCAGTAATTTTATTTTAACGGGGTGGGATTGTTAGCCTCATGTTCCAACCTTCCCTCTTTACCGGCCTTACTGCCGGCTTAGCGAGGTTTAGGAGTGTGTCAGCCGGGGTTTGAACTCCGGATCATGTGGTTGGTTGGCGAGCATTCTACCGCCCAACCACTCATGCATTACGTGTTCAGTACAATCCTTTACGACTTAAAACTATTCAAATTTTTTCGCTTATGCATTAGTTCTAGTCTGTCCTCGCTGTGTTTGCCTTATAGGTGTAAGTATGAGTGTCTTTTAAGTAATTTATTGCATTACTTATGTTTCTATTGCGGCTAACTATGGACACTAATTGTTTCCAATTCAGTTGAGTGATTCGGTGAAAATATTTAAACACCTCATCTTCCTTTTTCAGATTATTTATCCTCAGCTGATTGTTTGAATCTGATTATGTGGATTTGTGCTCAACAACTTTCACCTGAGAATTCAAATCCCGAGGACTTTACTCTGAATATTCCCAGATTAGATTTCATTTACAAATGTAAGTTTATGAGTTTTTTTTCAGACTGCTTTCAACCTCTTGAGCGTTTCATACAAGAAGGCATTTCACTGACGTGTATTTGTTATGCGTTGTTGAAGTTAATTTTGTGCAGTACAGACTGTTTTTATTCCCTGTTAGTATGGTGATATTAAATTTTCAATATTCTACACTAGATATCGGTATTAATATTTCTCACGTGTAAAACAGTCTGTGATAAAGAAAGTGTTGTTTGATCTTGTTGTTTATCCAAATCACTCATGATCAGCCAGCTAGAAAATGTTTGTCACTATGCTATATCCTTTAAGTGACCAAAGATTAACGTCCAGGAAATTATGCCGTTTCAGTATCGCAAAATGTTTATCAGAAATGACAACCATGCTGAAACTCTTGCCCCTCCTGCTGAAAATAGGGCTAGTGATTGGCTACTGAACGAAGTTGCCTGAAGTTCTAGTGAAAAGTTGTTACCAGTGGGGTCCATCCAGTCGGGAGTGAGTTCAAAATATTCGCCGATGACGTTGGCTGGTGACAGTCTCGCTAAAAACACGAATTGGTGGGAGTTAGAATTCATGCGCTGACCACTGAGTTGGTTCCCACCGGCTGAATGGTCTACGAGCTTGACTTGTAACCGGAAGTCCCTGGGTTGGAACCCTGGAGGTGTGTGCGTAGTGCCGATGAGTCCCGAACTAGGACTAAACAGCTGACCACTACTCCCTGCTGGTTTTCAATAGTTCTCTAACTGATATTAATCCATGGTCAAATTTGAAACAAACCAAATCCATACACACTAACTCCTGGAAAAAATAATAGATGCTTTTTCAGATATCATTTCATAGAGATGTTTCTGTTTGACCAGACTTTTGTTCCTCCTTGCTTTTCTGAGTTGCGTTTGTTTACCTTGTGTCATATTTCTTTATATTGCCTTTTTCTCAATGTCTATAATCCAGTTTTTGGACAAAATTATGAAATATATATTTCATCTAACAATTTCTTTTGAGGGCTTGAGTTTCACTTTACTTGACAGTTAAAAGATGTTAGCTTAACTCACTAGTTCTCACTGAGTTCTAAGTAGACTACTTTTGCAGTTCTATAAGGCTGTAATACAACTGTGCAATAAAAAAATACACGATAGTACATCGGTTTCAAGTTTGTTATATTTTTGAGATCTGGTTATGTACGTGTGAGAAGAGAAATGGGAGGAATTTAATTATCACTCGGCTTTTAGGATCTATTGTTTCTAGAAATCTTATCATCTGTGATATAGATGTGTGGTTGGTTGTTGGTTCTAAGAATACAACTAACAGTGGGGGGGGGGAGGAGATTCTTTAATCACATTACTGCGTTAAATATAAATTATCAGTCTACTCTTACAACACAAATTAGTGGTTCCTTCCTGTGAATTTTTATTGCTTATTTGTTTTTAAAAATTTTCCCAGTGGTGACAAAACTTTTCCCAAACTTGAATTCCTATTGTTCATCGCCTGTTTTTGGATCAACCATTGAGGGTCAGTCTATTCCAAACACAAGTATTGATCAACTTTGTCAAATTGATATTATCAACTTTATGATTACCTGCTTTCTTCACATGTCTATCAGAAGTCTTTCTAAACCTGAGTCAAAATATTCCAAATCTCTATGCTCGCATTTAATAATTAAACCTGAAACATCAGGTATTGGGTTAGATATTCTTTTCTTACCTTTGTGTCTGATTCCTGCTGCACAACTGTCCACCTCCACCCAACGTGCATGGTGGTCTGCATTTATCAAGCAAGTAATCGAGTCTGGTTCGCGGTAAGTTAATCTTTTGTGCATAAAATTTGTATTCTTAAATTTCGCATCAAAATACGAGTAAATTGAATTTTAAATTATTTTGGACATCGAATCAGTTGTGATTCTGTAATTGCTGTCAGTGAAGTGTTCGACCGCCACACTTCCAGCTTATCCTCTGGCATCTTTCTGCAAACACATGCGTAATGTTTTCGAACCCCTTTTTGAAAAATACACTCATGAAACGACCCAACAACCTGACTGAACGTAACCAGGTGAATTAAAATATACATGAAATTACTCAGTTCCATAGACTGTTTCTTTGATAGCCTGGTGTTATCTGTGTTTTTCCTAATTGTAGGTGTAACTTATGTTTTAGTACACGGAACTTTAGTGGTTCCTGATCTACAAGGGTTTCACAAAACTGATTGACTGGCGTATAGATTAACATACCTATTTTGGCTTAAACATCATTCTGTGATTCGTTATTTCGAGGCTATACCGGTTGACTTAGGAAACTCTATTACTCTTTTTATTACACTTTTGTTGTCTCGCTTCTATATAATAATAACAATAATAATACTAATATTGTATTTACTTGTTCAGCAGCACAATAAATGACAGTGACCGTGCTTTGTTACGATGCGGTTTAAACCAACTTCGACTTGTATTTCATCCAACGAGCTGTTTGAATGGTGGAAAGGGTATTATGAATCCACCTCTTCTATTCCGTGTGGCTCAGGCTCTCACTCACATTGTACTTCAATGTTCACCTAAGAAAATGGAAAACATTGAACTATGGCCATTACACTACTGGGAAGCAGCTCTCAAGAATCACATTTTGGGTCCTTCAAATGAGCCTAGAACATCTGTGCTTCAATCGCTCAGTGGGTCTTTTTGTTCAGGTTATACAAATTCTGGTGTCAATAATTGTCTCAGGTGTGTTTCATTAGCATGTATTCTCCTTTTTTTATAATGAATGCCATTGCAGTTTTTTCTTCGACATTGGATGACACAAATGTCAAGTGGCAATGTTTTTAGAGGGATATGAAAAACTAAGATCTTCCAGTGAATCATTATGATCAATCACTTGTTATGTGTTTTACTACAAATGTTGCCTATCATTGTTTAGAATGACTACCTTTTTCATTTAATCAGTGGTAATTTTAGCAAATATTGTAGAACAAGAGTTTTGATGTTATCTATAGTCGTTAAATTGTATGTTTCCACCGCTTACATTACAGAGCGCCGTGAAGACGTAGCACATTGGCTTAAGCACATGACTTTCAGCCAGTGGGTCCTTGGTTCGAATCCCGCTCTACCTACTTCAGCCTGGGTAACCGGGTAGTATCATCTCCCCTCACACACAATGATGTGTGACTCATAGCCTGAAACATAAAAAAGAACCTGTTCCGGGAGCTGAGTTATCCTTTACATTACTTAACCGTTCTCAGTGATGCATATGCAATCACTCTTTGTAATCTCCCAGATCGACTAAGTCTTCATTTTTCCATGGTACTATTTCTTCTGTACAATTATGCTCCTCATAGTTCTTTTGAATTTTCTTTTCTTTTCTCTACCTTTGTATGGTGTTGCATGGGGTGTGGCAGCTTAAATTGCTGCACTTGTATGCGAAGTTCTACATTGTGATTCAGTCAGCCAGTTAGCTCACATTACGTTCTTACGTTAGAGTCTTAACTCATGTATAGAGTTTAGGTGTACTCTAATTATACACTGGATAGTATATAATGTCCTTTGGTCAGTGTAGATTGAATTCTTCCAATCAAGTTTATAGGGAGGCCACCACTCCACTGGGCGGCTCGCCATCATAGTGCAATCTGAATTGTTGTTATTAGATGGTTGGAGACAATCAATAGGTTCACTAGTCACCAAGGCGTATCTGCAACCGTGATGAAACCCATGTCCCCTCTGAGATTCGAAGGCGTGTCATCCAGTGGTGCAGTCAAAGACGTTACCACTGAACTGTTCAGGCTTGCGATTAACCTCCTGTTGGACCGTGTTAGGTGCTTTGATTAGACTCTGGGTAGTAACTGGTGTCACGCGTCTAGTCCTTTGTTTGGTACAGACTGAATTCTACCAGTCAGGTGTGTTAAACAAGTCCTTCGGCAATCTACACTTTTCGGTATTTCCTTGCTATATACTTGATGTAATGCTAGGAATGTGCGAGAAAAATCAAATTTTGTTAGCACATATGTGTAATTTTTCTATTATTCCAGTGGAACATAGGGCTTCAAGCTAGAGGCTTGAAGTTTCGGTAGCAGTGGTGTTTATTTTTACGGGATGGGGTTGCTACCTCACGCCCAATCTTCCCTCTTTACCAGCCTTATTACTGGCTTAGCGAGGTAAAGGAGTGCGTCGGCCCCAGACTACATGAGTGGTTGGCGAGCATCCTACCACTGTGCCACCGACGCTCATATGTGTAATTGATTTTTTAAAACCCGCCTTCCATATTTTTCAATAATTTGAGGGATTCTTGTCTCATGCTTTCAGTCTGTCCTACATTCTGTTTAACTAACATATTTTGGCTTTTTGTTGCCTTTTTCATTTTTTTTCAATTACCAGTCCTTTGAGAAATCGGAATATAACACAGCCTTCGAAATCAGAGCTTACCGGTTCACATATCCTATTTGTATTACCATCAAGTTACAATGGTTGGCGTGGTGTTTTCAACGAATCAGCCTCTGTTGTATCCTTGTCTAGACATTGGTGCAATACTGGTTGGCTTTGGTGTTTTGATAAGCTTGAAAGTCGGTCTAAAACAGCTGACAAGTTGGATACAATAGATGAGGGTTTACTGCGATCACTTATACGTTTATGTGAGTATGATTCATCGATTTGTAATGAAGCAACTCGTTCATGCGGTAACAGATTATTGAATAGTCTAATTCTCAAGTCAAAGCCGCATGGAATAAACAATCTTAAAGCTGATTTCGGGAAAGCGAGTTCAAGGTTCGATGGCAATCAGGATTTCAGTGGTCTTGAGTCACAGTCGTCAAAACTTGGTTCGTTCGTGAAGACATCTATCCCCACAGATCTCAGTAATTCTGTGAGTGAATTGTTACTGCACATTTATTTATTGCACGTTTTCATTTGATTTTAAGTTCGTGTCTAATAGAGTCTTATGTAAAACATTTGTGATTAGTATTAGTATATTGTGAGGCTTGTGGGTGTTTGACTGGTTCATATGAGTATCCATTACAGGTGAATATCAGTCACAGAAAACTTAACCCTCTATACAAGAAGTTAGTTACCTGAAGTTTCAGTGAAAAGTCGTGACCAACAGGGTCCATCAAGTCAGGTAAGAGGACAGTCGCTCGCTGATGACGCTGACTGGTGGTTGCGCTATATATGTCGTAAATAGGCTATAGTTGGAATTCATGGACCAGTGGATGAGTGGTATACGAGCTCGCCTTGTAACCGGGAGGTCCTTGGTTCTAACCGTGGTGGGCGCGTTTCGATAAAGAGTCCCAAACAGCTATCCACTGCTTCATAGTGGCCTTCTGACTGATGTCAGCTTGTAATCAAGCCTGTAACCAATCAATCAATTAATAGTATAAGTTAATCAGACCTAACAGTTAGTCAGTTTACGAAATATAAAAGCTAATTGAAAAAATTTTAAGTGTCTGTCAACACGGAAATTCGAGAAGATGAATTTATACCGTTTGTTTAATGGTTAGAAAGCAGTTTTTGTAGCTACTTTCTGGTTGTAACGTAAAATTTATTGTATTAGCTCAGATGTGTACCTTCATAGTCTCAAAATTATATAATCGTCTTCATTCATATCTTAATACTTCCACTAGTTTTTCTCCTTATCTGTCTGTGTTATTATCCACACTGTCGTCTTTCTTGCGAGGCTTTAACTTGACGTTTATTACATCATGCTTTGTTCAAGTAAGATGATGTTATAGGAATGGACTAAATTGACTCCTAGTTTAAAGATAGGGAGTGAAGTCGTTGGTAGAGCGTGTTGACCACTTCACTTATTTGGGAAGTTGCATCAGCCAACGCCAGTGGGTTGATCGCTGACGAAATCTCACCTCGGATACAGAAGGCTCGTTTCGCAAATACCAGTTTACGCCATCTCTAACGTAGATGCTATATCAAGCTGTGGAACAAAGGTTCGTGTACTGCTCAGCACTTCGCTCCGTCCTCCTTTATGGCTGTGAGTGAGACCTGGTCATTGAAAGTGGAGGACATGAAAAGGTCGACTGGCTGTTAAACCTAATTAAAGCTAGCTGTCTTTGATCATAGGTGTCTGCTCTCTATCTCCCGTGTGAAGTGGTGTAAAAAGGTGAGCAATATTGAGGTAAGGCTTCGGTCGAGCGCTAGGTAAGGAGAGGAAATCAATCGACGTGGTTGTGAAGTATCTGCATCGATTTGAGATGGTTAGGACATACGTTACGCATGCATGCCTAGCCATCGTCTCCCTCGACGGGCAATGTTAGATGACATAGGATGGATCAGGCTGGAAAAGAGCTAGTGGTGGTGAATCTAAAACATGGCCTCATCAGTCAGTGAAATCCATAGCAGTTAGTTCAAGCCACTTAGGGAGATGTAAACTTCCTTGTTGAGGTCCTCGGGATGGAAGAACAGTCTGGAACATTGATGATATGGCTCAGAATCGCTCTCAATGGCTGGCGCAGATGCATCCACTCCTTGTTATTTATAGTATCCAATAAAATTCTATTGTTCTTCCATATTACTATTCTTTTTGCCACATTTTTCTGTTCATTATCTTTCTTTTGAATGTTTCTTTGCTCTCTTTTCTTGCTTTGTGTGGTACATGGAGGGAGTGTGGCAACTCGAACTGCTGCACTTTTGTGCAAAGTTCTACGTTGAAACCAGTCAATCAGTCAGTGTTTAAGCATTACTAACAGCATCTTCGTAGTTATATTTGAGTTTGACCCTAGTTTATGTATACGTGTTCGTTTTCTTTTGCACAGATTACACAAGAATCGCAAACAGTTCTTTCGCCTTCGGTCAAAACAAACACTGACGATGCTGTCTCACGTTTGAATGTTGTGAACGACAAGAGATCAAGCAACATTTTTGAACCGTCCAATACAGAAAATCCACCAATGACGAGTTCTCCATGTCCCTCCCAACCACCATCATCAATCAATACGCCCATCTGTTCTCCATCTAAGGCTCCACCAAGTTCTACTCATCACATCGTACCGACTCTTACTTGCTCATTGGTTAAATTTTATGACACCTTGCAAAGTACTGCTGGCGTACAGATATCGCATACTGGTGCTGGTGATCAATCTGCTACTTCAGCTTATCGTCAGGTAGATACTTTTCCCCTACCTCATGAGATAATCATGTCGATTCATCGTATTCACAGTACATGGAAATTATTATTCCTCTTTTTATGTAATACCTTAGCTGTACCATTATTGTTTTTCTGCGTAATAATTAATGATTATATACACAAAAACTGGTTTTTTTTCTCTGTCAGTATGCTGATTGATTTGTTTGATTGACTCCACAGCTGTCTGTGTGTTGATATATTTGACATTTTTTGTTTTTGTTTATCTTTCCTCCCTTGTCCAGGATACTTGTTTGTCAAATCTGATCAGTGTTTGGCAGACCCTAGTCAGTGGTCTGTCATGTCAGCTAGCTGAGACCAAGTTAGAGCTGACGCGTAGTCGAGAACTCAATGAACAATTATCAAAGCAATTAAGTGAAACTAGCAAGCAATTATCAGATGCTGTTAACAAATTTATTGAATTTCAAAATAACAATCAAATTGCTACTGCAAAGTCAGCAGCCAACATCATTCCTGTATCCTCTGCATCGAATGCTTTGCTTGAAACTCCTGCTCAAGAACTTTCAAAGGCTATTACTGAACTTCGACACTGGCTTCCAGAAGGTATGGCAGCAGCTGCTTGTGCTGCTGTGAATGCACGCTTATCACCACCAGGTCGTACACAATCACTTGGTCAGCATCAATCACCATGTCGTTCTGAAACACCAATACAATCAAACAATCGTGGTATATATGCCTAATAGTGTTTAGTTGTCATGTTTTAAAAATTTTATTTTTGCTTCACATTCATTAACAACATAAGGGCGCCGAGATAATAACACCATTAGATTAGGGGTAGTAACTTTTTCTCTGTGTAAAACGACCTCATTCTTTTCATTAACTGATGATAGTCCGCTGTTAAAGTGAATATTTCGAAATCGTGATTGTCTCTGATCACAAGAGCACTTTTCAATTAGATTCCACATAGCTGTTTCTGTAATTATTTTTACCAGTAAGAATGACTATGTGGTACTGTATTCTGTTTTGAAGGATGTAAGAACAATGACTTCGGGTGAACAGCATGTTGGTACCGCGTACTAGCTACATGCAACCTAAGGATTTTTTCTTTCCTTGGACCTCGTGCGTTTCTGAAAAACGAAAATAAGAAGTATTTCGACTGGAAACATCTGATGAAAAGGATTCTAGATTATTAATCTTCTCTGTTCATTATATATATTCAAATTTGTAAGGATTTACGAATTATCCCGTATTCTTCATCATTTGTGGAGATGTGATTCATGGGCTTCAGCGCTTGACTTTCAGTCAGTGAGTCCCAGGTTCGAGTCCCACTCCACCTACTTCAGCCTAAACAACTGAGTAGTATCATTAACCCTCAAACAATCAATGTGACTCATAGCCCAGTACTGGGCAATTGAGTCATAACTAACTAGCTAACTAATATTCTTTATAGTACCATTTCTATTATTGGGTTTGACTCAGTGTTTGGTCGTTTGAAGCAAGTTTTCATTATAATTTCACGAAAACATATCTTATCACTGAGGGAGTTCAGTCGCTTTCTTACATTCAAAGTGCTATAATAAGAGGAAATGATTAAGCGACATATTTTTGACTGTACGGTAGGTCTGGAATTTCAAGGTACATTTGGTTCATGAAACAATCTCGTTTTAATGGCAATTACTCATACTCATCGCATAGAGATAGCTACCTGGCTACTACCTTAACTACCTTAGTTAAAGCTGGTTTCGAATCAGTAGCTCATTGATTAGGAATCACTAATTGAGTGCCAGCTCGGCATAACAAACGAAAACCACTAGCGATGAATAACTTCTAGTCGGTACACTGACTATGATGACTGACTTAAACAGTCTTGTGGACTCCGACTAGACAGATGGATGAGAAAAAAAATAAACGAATTGTCATGACAAGGAAGTATATGATTGAAAGTGAGTAAGGGCGACCTGGGACTCTGCAAGAACTGGCGAGGAATCATGCTCCTGTCGACGCCAAGTAAAATCCTGAGTCGCATCATCCTGGAGAGAATCAAGGACGCGTTGGATACAGAACTCCGACCAGAACAAGCTGGATTCAGGAAAGGCAAATCATGTTCTGACCAAATTGCAACTCTACGCATCATCATCGAACAAAGCATGGAATGGCAATCAAACCTCTACCTCAACTTTATAGACTTTGAGAAGGCCTTCGACAGTGTTGACCGCGAAGTAATTTGGAAACTACTCGAGTACTACGGCGTACCTCAAATATTCATCAACCTTATTCAACAGCTGTACGACAACGGTACATGTCAAGTCATCCACAACGGAAAACTCAGCGAAGCGTTTCGAGTAAACACAGGAGTCAGACAAGGGTGCTTATTATCACCAATGATATTCCTAATTGTGGTGGACTGGATTATGCGTCAGACAGTGGGAAACGAGAAGACAGGGATAACCTGGACCGACGTGAAGAACCTAGAAGACCTGGATTTTGCGGATGATTTATGTTTGATGTCACACAAAATCGAAGACTTACAAGCAAAAACCGACAAACTGGTCGAAGAAGCAGCAAAGACAGGACTCCAGGTGAACATAGACAAGACGGAGGTCATGAAAATAACCAACCAACAACAGCAGCAACATCCAGTGCCAATCACCATCAACGAGAGGGATTTGAAAGAGGTTACTTCTTTCACTTATCTAGGGAGCATTTTCTCAACTACAGGAGGAACGGACGAAGATGTCAAATCGAGACGAGAATCGGGAAGGCGAGAAACACATTCATCAATCTGAAACCAATCTGGAAATCTTCGTCACTCAACTCAGCATCAACAACAAAATTCGGATTTTCAATACAAACGTGAAGTCAATTTTGCTTTACGGATCAGAAACTTGGCGGGTCACCAAGAATATTTTCAACAGATTGCAGACCTTTATCAACAACTGTCTTCGCTCCATACTGAAGATTAGATGGCCGGAAAGAATCACAAACAAGAAGCTATGGGAACAAACGAAACAGGAACCAATCGCCCAACAAATATGCAGGAGGAAGTGGAGATGGATTGGACACTCGCTGAGGAGGCCGTTGGGTGACATCGCACGTCAGGCCATAGCTCGAGTGGAACCCGAAAGGGAAGCGGCGAGTGGGACGTCCAAGGGTGACATGGAGGAGATGAAACAGTATGGACTAACATGGATGCAAGTGAAAAGTACATCAGAAGACAGAAACAAGTGGAGACGTGCAGTTGAAGCCCTATGTTCCACTAGGAACCCAAGGGAACAATAATATAATAATAAAGGAACAATAAAATCTACCCTCTAATTGAACACTAGTAACTATTGTCATACATCTAATCCTTTGTTTGGTGCAGACTAAAGTCGAACAGGGTAGTTTGCGGTGTGGCCACCATTCGACTAGGTGGCTCGCCATCACAGTGCATTGTGAATTGTTGTTATCAGGTGGTTAGGACCTATCAGCGGGAAGCCTTGAGCCTAGGTTTCGTTGTTGTTATCACTCACCAGTCAGCAAAGGATATCTACAACCTTGAAGCAACGAATGTCCCCTCTGAGATTCGAACCCCTTTGCTGAAATCATAGACGTTACCGCCGAACTATTTAGCCTTGCGATTTCTTACTTTGATTGAATATCAGATAGTAAGTTAACTAGTGTCATACGTCTAGTCCTTTATGGTGGTAACGTCTCTGACTGCAGCACCGGGGGCATGAATTCCTTCAAGGTTGCAAGTGTACACCTTGCTGACTCGTGAGTGCCAACAAGCACGAAACCTAGGTCAGGCTGGGCTTCCTTCCGAGTGAATCCAGCGATTAAGACAATTATTGGTTCGTGCAACTTACAATTGACTAATCACAGGTAAACAGACTTTATGCTACAAAAAAATCCAAGTTTTCTCTACGTTCGGTTTTTAACGTCAGAAGAAAGTCATTGTTGTGATTTCAGTCATGTTAAATCTTCTGAAGACTATCGGCATAGTTATCACTTCTAAGATGCCTCAACTTTATAAGCGTTTTGCTCATAGATTCATGATGAAGATAGTGGATCATCCTAAGGAGCAGATTTCTGCACTCTAATTGTATTCTTAGATGCATTCTGCAACTTAAGATTGGTGTATCTACACCTCCGAGTTCAGGAAGGCACTACATATGAGATTAATCATGGGATCATTAGTTTTCAAACAACCCTGTCATCAATAGGCAGAAAGGCATCAGATCTTGCTATTCACAGTCATTCAGACTTCCAGTCATCTTTCCCTCTCTCTCAGTATTTCTTCTCACGTGAGTGCATATGTCTTTTACAACGCCTATATATCAATCACACTTAAACAATAAAGTACATATTTAACAACTGACAATTTACTACTATTAAGTGTATAATATATAGATAATTACAACACTCATATGCAAAAATCAAGTGATCACAATTACATAAAACGGTTGCATGAGAACTTGCAGTTTCCTAATGAACACACTGGTTAAATAACACTTTAAAGCCAGATCAATTCAACCTACTATATATCAGTCTACATATTGGTTGTTCTGTGTACCTGTTAAATCATTTTCCAAAGTGTTACAAAGTAAATGCTTACTTCTAGTGAGTACTCTTCAAAGTGTTATGAATTTTGCATTTACAATGGTTTACTTATTTCCATAGAGATTCTTTTGATAATTTCTCTTTCTTTTTGTTCAAAGTAACCGTACACGAACAACAACAACACCACCATCATCACCACCACCAACAACAACAGAAAATCTCTACTGTAATTTCATCTCCAAAGCCACACTATGAAGATGTAGAAGAATTTCCTGAAGCTTATGAACCTACTGTTAACTTTAAACCAGTTTTAGAAACTTTACCAGATCTTGTTGACTCAAAAACTGGTGAAGAAAATGATGAACGTTTGTTCTGTGAACGTGCTCGTCTATATCGTTGGGAAAAGGAAAGTGAAAGCTGGAAAACACGTGGTGTTGGTGAAATTCGAATTTTAAAGAATACAATTACTGGTAAATGTCGATTGGTTATGAGACGTGATCAGGTACGCATGCAAAATTATGTTTATTTTGTGAACTTAAATTTGTTTACCGTAATTTTCGAAGTCATGTGTCCGGTATACTGCATTGTATCAGTTCGATTGTACATATCTGGTGCTGATTGGATGGAAGAATCAGGGTTAACCCCTCTCTCTCTCTCCATTTAACCCTCCTATCGTTTGATTATGTGCCGGTGGATGCATTGGAAGGGTCTACTTTCTGTCTAGATTATTCAACTTAGCAGAGTCAATCCTTCATTGAATCAGCGCCAAACGTGTGCAATCGAGATGACGCATCACCTACCCCCGATATTCTAGTAAATTCCAATAAGGAAACAGGATGGTTTGTAAGGTCGTGTGAACATAATGATGCGATTATGAGCAATAAATTGTGCTCAAAAAGTTATCCAGTTACTAATACTATACACTTGTGTGCTATATCCAATAAACTTATGTGTAACTGCGTAAGGTAACTTGGTTGTAGTATAGACAGCATCAAAAGGCTATCGTCTCTTAAAGCTGTGTATTCATTTTTCATCCAGTCAACTTCCTAATTCGTTATAATGTATCGTGTGTATATACTCTGATTGAACACCAGGTAGTGAGTAACTAAGTGTCATGCATCTAGTCCTTTGTTTGATGCAGACTAAAGTCGATCAGGGAAGTTTGCAATGTGGCCACCATGCTAGTAGGCTCGCCATCATATGATGCACTTTGAATTGTTGTTGAGTCGGTAGGAAGCCTTAGCCGTAGGTGTCGTGTTTGTTGGCATTCCCCTGTCGTCAGCAAGGTGTATCTGCAAGCGTGAAGGAACTGATATTTCTTCTGAGATTCGAATCGGTTTTTCATTGAGTACTTGAAGTCATTCATGTTCCCACTGAGCTGTTCGGGCTCGCAATTGACCTCCTGAAGACTGTAACGGATACTTTAATTTGACACTGAGTAGTAACTAGTATAGTGCTTCTAATCCTTTGTTCGGTTCAGACTGAATTCTATCAGTTAAGTTTGTATTTTGCTTCCCTGACGCCTATCCTAAGTTAGTTATCCAGTCGAGTAGTCTATTTGTTAGCAAAATTTCTATTTAGCGTGTAAATTATCGATTGATAACTTTTTTTCCCCTTTGAACTTGTGTTTTTCAGGTGAAGAAATTGTGCGCAAATCATTATATTACCTCATCTATTAAGTTATCTCCGTCTACGAAAGATCCAAGAATGACTATATGGGCAGCTAAAGATTATTCTGAATCCACTGAAGGCATTGATGAACTTTTCATGATTCAGTTCAAATCACCTGAGATACTTGGTGAATTCAGTCGTATCTTCTCTGAGTGTACTGCTAAAACCAGTGGGAATAATGCACCTGCCGACACCGCATCTGAGGCTAAAGACAAGTCTTCTAAGAATAAAGTAACTCCTGCAAAATCTCAACCATCTTCTGCGACTGCTATTCAGTCGACACCTAATGTAGCCAAGCCACAGATAGCAGAGTGCAAAAACAATGCACAGGTTCCAAAACAAGTAGATTCAATGCTTTCAAAGTTTGCTCCTAAATCCGGTTCATGGGAGTGTCCTACTTGCCTACTATATCATGATGCTTCTGTAACTGTTTGCTCTGCTTGTAAAACACCTAAGCCTGGATCTTCAAGTGTGTCCACGGCTACTGCTACTACTACCACCAGCGCTAGCGCCACCGCCACTTCTAAAGCTACTTTGTCCACACCATTGTTTGGCGGTTTTTTGAAAAGTACCGGAGGATTTGTATTTGGACAGACAAAGACTTTGGAGTCCAGTGTTTCAGCCACAACTACCACTACAACAACAACAGCAACACCTACAACTACAACAGGATCTGCAACACCACCTAAACCTGTGTTTAGTTTTGTTGCCACCTCGCCTAAGCTGAATACAAATCTATTTCCGACTACATCATCTCAGACACCAGGATCAATGTCGTTTATTTTCGGTAATTCTCTTGGCACTACTACTACTACTACTACTACTACTTCGTCTTCTTCTTCTTCATCGTTTGTTAATGTATTCCCGTCAACTCTGTCAACCAGTGATAAGAAACCGATATTCCCACCAATTGCATCAACTACTTCTGTTGGCAGTGGTCAGTCGGGATTCACTTTTTCTTTTGGTAATGCTTTATCAAAGTTGAATGAATCTCCTGCTGCTACCACTCTACCACTACTACTAAATTGTCGACGAGTTTTTCAACTCCAGCTCAAGGTGATAGTCATGTTGATAATAATAATGATGACGATGATGATAAAGTCGAGTTGGTAGACGATTCCAAATTGACATTTAAACCAGTACTTGAAGTGATGCCTAAGAAAATTGAAGTTTTTACAGGTGAAGAAAACGATGAGGTGATATTTTGTCATCGGGCGAAACTTTATCGTTGGGATAACAATGCCTGGCATGAACGTGGAGTTGGAGATCTGAAATTACTGCGTTCCACTGTTACTGGTGTCATCCGTTGTCTAATGCGCCGGGAACATGTTTTAAAGGTATGTTGTAATCATGTGGTCGGTGTTGGTATGCAGTTGAAACCAATGAATACTGGCGGTGGTCGTGCATGGAGTTGGTGGGCAATTGACTATGCTGAACAATCTGAAGAAGGCGGCCAAACAACTGAAACTGAGTCTACAGATTTAAATGGAGGCCGACGTGAAACATTTGCGGCTAGATTTAAGCTTACTGAACATAGTGAGGAGTTCCGTCGCCTTTTTGAAGAAGCTGTCCAAGCAGCTGAGGATCGTTTGAATACATCTCAATCAGGTGAAACGACGAAGCCGTCGAAAAAGTATACAGTTGATTTGGACCAACAAAGCGAGGATACGGATTCTGATGTTGTTGTCGTTGAGCGTCCTTTAAAGGTTAGTTAGTTAGTTGTGTATGTTATTCACCAAATACTAAAAATGAAGTATATATAAGTAGCTTATTTAATTCAGTCTAATTCATCTTTCGTCTCATTAGACTACCTTTTGAATTGAACTGTTTTTATTACGAGAATACGCGTTAACAAATTCTAAAACCAACCATGCTTGTTTTGATTCTCTATTTTTTCAGGTATCTAATGATCAAATTATTGAAGCTCGAAAGCTTAAATTACCCGATGGATTTTACAGTTATAAGAATGGTGAAGTGACTGGTGAGTCAGAAGGTCTTACAGCAGAAGAAGAAGCCGAGGAAGATTCATTGTTAGAAGCTGCTATACAGCGTCACACAACCCTGAACAGTAAACAGTCTGCTACTACTACTACTGCCTCTGTCGGTTTCTCTGTCACGACGCTTACACCGTCTTCTAAACAGAACGATACGCCAACGCAGAATAAACCAGTGACTAGTAAGTTTGGCTTTGCTCTGTGTTAAGGGAGAATCTCCAGTTTTACTTGATAGTCTTGTGTTTAAGTGCACTATTTTTATTTTATTTTTACGCAGTGGGGTTGCTAGCCTCACACCCAACCTCATTTTGTCAGGCTTACTACCGGTTAAGCGATGTTTAGGAGTGCGTTGACCGAACCACGTGGGTGATGTATTTGGTGAGCGTTCTACCGCTGAGCCGATGACGCACACTATGTGCATTACTATAGGTGGTTTTCTCTGCTACATTCACACTTGATTATATTAAGGTTTACTGTCCTCATTGATTGCGTGGACCGAAATTTCCACCCTCTGTTAGCATGTCTGCTCCTAGTACGGACACTTCAACGACGTCTAAGGACTAACTTGAAGTAATTCAGTGGATGGTGACTAGCAGTAGAATTCAGGATGCTCACAAGGGGTGGCTCACGTGTTTAAGCTTTCTTCGAAACGACGGACACTACTGGGTTCGAGCCTCAGTGGGAATATCATCACTCTTTCACTGGGGAGAATCACGTACCCCCGTGATGATGAATCCCAAATACGACGAAATACTCATTCTGGATTCCACCGCTAGTCACCACCCTCCAAATTTTTTTTCCTTCACGTTCCCCAGTGGAACATAGGGCTTCAAGCTAGTGGCTTGAAGTTTCTGTAGCAGTGTTTATTTTACAGGATGGGGTTGCTAGCCTCATGCCCAACCATTCCTCTTCACCAGCATTATTTCTAGCTTAGCGAGGTAAAGGAGTGCGCCGGCCGAGGATCGAACCCCGGACCATGTGCATGGTCGGCGAGCGTCCTAACCGCTCTGCCACCGACGCACCCTCCAAATTAGATGTGTATATTTATTTTGGGTGGATTTATTCATATTTCTAAGAATCCTAGTAACCATTTTGTTTGGTATTTTGCTTTCGTCCAGAATAGTTTTATGTAACTTTTTATTTGTTCACTTGTTACTGTTTACTCTGTTCGCTTTCTACTTTACCTAGCTGTATCTCCGGCTACATATGTACCTCAAGTTAAAGGTTTGCTTGACTTCTCAGCACTGAATTCTGCTGTGTCTAAAGACAGTCAACCATTATGGGGTTCATCAACAAAATCATCAGGATGGAGTAATGCAGGTGCACAGTTATTTGCTACGTCTACTACTACTACTACTAATAAAGGTGAAGAGGATGAAGAAGATCCATCTGCTGGTGATCATGATCCTCATTATGAACCGATCGTTGCACTACCTAAACTTACAGAAGTGAGTTTTGTTTTTGAAATCTGATTGTTTAATAAATTACAGCGTGTTATGTGCTACTGGTAATCAAAACTACTGGTCAACAGTGTTACTTGTTCTAGCTTAGACCTCTGACCTTCAGAAGAAGAAGTGTATACTACGAAGGTTTAAGAATGGAATCGTGAACTTTTAATGATCTAAAATGAGATTGAGTTATGCTAGTTATACCGAACAGAAACTACACAATCTTTGTTTGCTTGTTGGAAAGTAAAAGGAGTGCTGTCAAGGAACTTAATTTTAAGTTCCTATCAATTCTGAAGACGCTCTGAATCGACAATTACTAGGTACAGATATCGACTTTAATTCCAAAATACAATGAATGACAAGAAATTGTATTCTTCGATTGTTAAAATCAATATTCTGTACTAAGTCTATAAACAAATGTTTTACAAGGAATGTATTGTACTTTTATTCGTATTGTTTCGTCCTCTTCTAACTTGTACACGATTGAATCATTCGCGCCTTCAAGTTGCCCGCCAATGGCGACCAAGGCCAATGAACAAACGTTCAATGTTCATAATCATTGACAAGTGCCATTTTTCAGATTATAGAATTTGTGGAGATTTTGGAGAGATCATTGGAAACCACCAGGGAGCACTGGACGGTTGTTTCGTTCTATTTTGGGATTCTTCAGCATCGCGTACCCATGACCTCACCAGGGATCAAAACCCGGGACTTTCAGGTTACGAGATCAAGCTCGTTAACTATTCAACTCTTGAATTCTAACTTTGTCAGTCCGTGATTATAGCGCTGCTGATGAGGAGTCCCAAAATGGAGGTGCATTTTGTGATGGTTTGGTTTTGGGAGTAAACTTATCCGGGTTTAAGCTTTTTGGGATCAGTTTAAGTTAAAAAAATCTAATTTTCTCAGAAATACAACTGCACTAGTATTTTACTCTCATTTCGATTGTTCCAGTAGTCATATATGGTCATTTCGTCTCCTCTTCTAAATTCTAATTTTCTACCCTAGAAGTTCGTTCGTTAGTTTGTTAATAACTGATACCTGCTGCATAAGAGGGATCTCTCGTGCTCAAGTGGCCTATAGTAGACAACGCCTTGACGTTTGTAACAGTGGCTAGTGGCTTCATGTATCAGTGGGAGCATCGTCACTCATTGGGAATCACAGGCGATGCTTCCGGATGACGAATCCTGGATTCCACTGCTAGTCCAGTCAGATTGTTTTATTTGAAGAGAATCACTACTGTTATTATTATTATTTCTTTTCTCTTGTAGACTAAAACTGGTGAAGAAGAAGAGCTGTGCATATTTCTTCGACGTTGTCGTGCCTATCGTTATGTTGATAAAGAATGGAAAGAACGTGGTGTCGGTGAAATAAAAGTTCTTGTCCGACCTCGTACAATGCCTACAGATGTACATTTTGGACCACGTGATGTTGTACCGTCAGATTATACACTAACTGATATTGGACGTGCACGTATATTAATGCGTCGAGATCAAATCTTGAAATTGTGCTTAAATCATCCAATCAGTTCTGATTTACCAGTATTTAAACCAATGGGTAGCTCTGCTAGTGCTAACAGTCTATGCTGGGTTGGTGAAGATTACAGTGAAGGTACTGGTAGTCTTGAAACGCTAGCAGTTAGATTCAAGGTGAGTTGAGAGATCACTTGTCATTTTCTTGTCATAACATACATACTTTACTCACTATAAAATGCATATATAATAATAATGCTCTATTCTTTTATTCATTTTATTTCACAGTTTGATACAGATGCGAATGAATTCAAAGCTGCAGTGGCTCGAGCACAATCAGCACTGAAAAGTTCATAACCTTTTTTTTGAGTAGAGGTAGGCGTGGTATTTGTATGACTCGTTAATCTACTTTCATGTTTATTCAATGTAATTTAGGTTACAGTTTATTGATTAACCTAAAAGTTGAAGTGTACTCATTTTTATACTAATATTGTATAGATAGAGTACTGGTGTTTGAGTACTGAACTTGTTGGGAGTTAACCCCCTCTGGAACCAAGAGAATGTGACAATAGTCCCCTTTCTTCAGTCACCATCGAACCAAGATCGAAATGAAAGGATATTTATGGAGTGCATATATATGCCTTATTTAATATTTTTTTTAATTTTTGATTGCAGCTTGATTCCACACCGTATTTTTTGGTACAGGTATGGAATTTTCAGCATGTGATATCGGTAGCCCAATTTTTGCAGGCCGACCATAGATATCAGGTGTGCGTCGGCAGGGGATCGAACCCCGGACCATGTGCATGATCGGTGAGAGTCATAACCGCTGTGCCACCGACGAAGCTGTTAGTAAGCTAAGTGGATTTAACATCCCTGAACTGAATTCAACAGTTAATTAGTGACTAATACGTGAAGTGTCGGTTAACACTCTAGTTGTCTGTAAACCACCAGAACGTTATCAGTGTGTATTATTATCAAGAGTTTGTCGGTAGGGATTGGATTTATTTCAAGTTTGATCATGGACTGATATCGATCCGTGAAAATTAATCTGATACTCGCTAGGAACTGGCTGCAGGACGAAGTTGTCTGGAATTCTATTGAGAATTTCTGACCAGTGGGAGTGGGGACAAAATACTCGCCGACAGTAGTAGTGGCTGGTGCCAGTCGTGCTAAAATCACGAATTAGTGGGAGTTAGAATTCATGGTCTGGCCATTAGATCGGGTTCCAGCTGCTGTGAATGATCTAAGAGCTTGGTTTGTAACTGGAAAGCCCTAGGTTCGAATCCCGGTGGGTGCGTACTGCCAAGGAGTCCTCGACTAGGGGGACGAAACAACTGTCCAGTACTCCTTTATTTTCAGTGGTCAGTCCATTATCAAACTTGAAATAATAATGATGATAATAGATTTATTCTAGACGGTGTTTATATAATTAATGTACAGAATTTTCAGTGGAATTTAACACTGTGCATAACATCGTTCTCTCATCTACGATTTTCATATAAAATAGTAATTGACAGTAGATTGTTTGACACAATGCTGTCTGGCCTGAAGCTCAAACCAGTCGTCATTATGATATTTCTTCTCTGTCTCCTTTGAGAAATTTCACGACATTAAAACAAAAGTGCAGGAGTACACTGATACTGAGTGGTTGTTTCTCGTGCAGTGATAATTTGTACTATAAATCTCAGGAACAGTAATTTCTGGTGTATTGGGATATTCGTTGTCCACCCACGATTGTGCTTTTTCTCAAGTTTAGTAGAAAGCTGGAAATGAGCAGGTTGTAGACGCGAGAGTAGAAATCACCATTAGAGGTTTTATTTTAATAGATTAATAATGTAAAAATCTCATCTCCATTTTGGTTATACTTGGTTTTTACAGTGTGATTAACTTTACCGAGTTGTGGTAAAATTCATTTTAAACAATTAATCACAATGTTGTGTCTCCTTCCATTTTCTTTTTCAGTTTTCTCACACACACATATATATATATTATCTATATAGATATTGGAACATTTTATTTTATGTGAGAAGTTCCAGTATCGTTTATCACCTTTCCTTGATGGTATAATATCAATGTGTTCACGTCCAATGCATATTCAGCTTATCATTAAACTAATCATATGTACACCGTGTTTTATATATAATAAAGAGATATATTCTACAGATTACTCACTTATTGTTCTTCTTCTCCAGTCACTCAATGTGTCTATAAAAGTAAGAGCAGAGCAGAACAGAGATTTTTCGGTCATAGTGAAAAGAGTTACCCTTTTCAGCAATATCATTCACATGTTATACAATTGCATTTAGTAAATTTTCTTCGTAACTAAAGGAATGTTTCCAAGAGTCTGCCATCAGGATTGTAAGTTTTCAGGTAACAATTGCGTAATAAGTAAAGTGCATGATGTGTAATGTAATTGACGGTGTTTGGGTAGATCTCAACTAAAAGTTTGTGTGATTCCATTGCCACACATAACTTCTTCATACCATTCCCTATATCTTATTTAAGCCATTTATTACTTCAATGTACTAGCAATGTTAGGTTTACATTTGAAGGCGATTGTTTCTGCCAGGTTAATGGTGTTGCTATAGGAAGTCCGTTAGGGCTCCTATTAGCAGATATCTATATGTCGTACATTGAGAGTCTATTAGAAGATATGTCGACGACATTGTAATCCATAGGTGATAAGCCTTGTTCTGCCACCTCAATTTTAAATCGAACGAATGAGGTGCAGAATAGCATATCACATACGTCTGTAGAAGACGAAGATAATTGTTTATCTCCCCTATATCTATATTGCTTAGTAGACGGACGGCGTGATGGATCAATAAAACGATCTATTTGTAGAAAACCTACCTGAACAGGACAGTATCTTGATTATCACAGTTTCTGCCCTGTTCGGTACAGTAGAGCCTTAATAAGATGCCTCTTCAGTAGAATCCAACGAATATGCACTGAAGACACACTTGATGAAGAAGAAAGAAAGTTGACACAAACTCTGGTTGACAATAATTATCCAGACAAGTTCATTAGGAGATATAAAGTAGTCAGAACACCAAGACCCACTCTTCAACTCACAACTGAGAAAGACGTATATATCAAGCTACCCTATATGGTGGTGATCATAGCAGCTTGGTGGCTAGACAACGGTTGAACACTGTGGTTAAGAGGACTTTTTATGGAGCTAAGGTCACAATAATTGAGAATGTGAAGCCGACATATCTATCTAAGCCCTTAGAACAGGCGATAGATGATGTCACATCCCACTGTATTTACCAATTTGAATGTACGTGTGGACAAACATACATAGGGAGGACTAATCGATCTCTGGAGCCAGGTGAAAACGTTGGCAGAGAACCGAACGGAGTGGAACTAAAGGAAACAATATTAATAATCATCTCGCAAGTAAGGACTGGCTTCAGAGCATATTCCTAAATGGCTCCAGAACCCATTAATGTTGAGAACAGGAGACCTCTATTGCGAAAAATATTATAGAGACAGGACATAAAATTGACATATCATATCTTTTAAACCTATCTATAAAACGTGTTTGAGGGAGGGCGTATCGTAAAGTTTGTGGAAGCCCTAGCTGGCGATTAGGAAGTTTAAACCACCTTTATGCGTTCAAAGCAACAATACGTCATGACACTAAACCACCTTCCTTGGTAAACTTTGTTTTGATACCAGTCAGGGCAGAGATGTACTATAACCTCTGTTATTTTGTTTAGTGATGTTCATTGTTATTTTGACCTTTAATATGTCCTTTTAACTTGACCTTAGTTTATTTTCTCACCTTTCAACTCTATTAATTTCGTATATATTCCTATGACAAGTCCGTGTGTGATCAGATTGTTCGAAATGTGTTGCACAAATACATTACACACGATTCAGCCGAATTACGTCTTTTTATTGCTTTGTCTTAAATTAAAAGAGTCAAGTTAGGGTCTCAATGTCATGACGAGTAGAAATGTAACATTGTGGCAGGGGATGGGGAGGAGAAATAATAATATAATTAAAGAAACTAAACAATTTGGAATAAAGGAAATATGAACGAAATATTCCCATATTGAGTCATAATAAAAAGAAGCAAAATTATAGTAACAACTTTACTCTGGCTACCGTAGGGCGAGTGAATGTATGTATTACTTTTGAATGCAGAGGTCCGGTTTCAGATCCCGAATAGCTAATGCTTCAGTTATGTACAGATGGCGTATGCGAAGTCCCTTTGTACGATATTGAGGGACTCTGTGAAGCAGCGAAGAGAATTTTCTTTTTGACGAAGTCACCAACTAGGGTGTATTAGTGTATTTACGGTAAATGGATGAGAAAGTTCCAGGCCCCTCTTGGCTAGTCTGGAAAAGCTATTCCTTATCACCGACTGTCAATGAGCTCCATCTCTACAAGAGATACACTGATGATACTTTCATTATTTGTGATGAGAATTTGGATCTCAGACTAAAACCTTCAATAATGCGCAGCCAAACATCGAATTCACTCTAGAAGTTGAATTTGATGCAATGTTCGATTTTTCCTCGATGTTAAACTGAGAAGAAATGATGATAACTCGCTGAGGAGGTCCATATACAAAAGCCCATATGGAATGGACAGTATCAATTTTCAGAATTGTTACTCTAAACAGAAAGAGAAACCACATATATTCTCTTTCCTTGAGGATCCGGAAGATATATACCGAAAAACCTATTGAAGGAGAAATACAAAATCTCCGAGTTATCTTGTTAGCAAATGGTTTCCCACCCAGATTCATAGACAAGAGTTTAAAACCAATGAAAGCGTCTGAACAGGTCCAAAGCGCCCCCTCCCAGAGGATGGTGTTGTTTAGTCTCCCATTTAAAAGTGATACTGAAGCAGAAATGCTCTGTAAGCGGCTCTTGAAATCTCTCAGTGAAACGTACTTCACCGCCAGCCCTATGAGTGACATTTTCTTGCAAGAAACTACTCAACTAGCACGTGAAAGACAAGCTATCGCATTGGGCCACTTCAGCATGTATATACCAGTTCACTTGGTCTTGTGGAGCTGAGTACATTGGCTGTACCATGCGTTCGCTTGTAAAACGCGCTCGGGAACACTATCCAACCTGGCTATCACACAGATAACACAAGTGTGTATATAGTTCGGTGACAGAACATCTGATGACCTCAGGACATCCAGCTCCATTTGAAAGTCCTTCAAAGTCACATAGGAGATCCGATCAAACCTCTCAAAGGGAGTGAGATCAAAGTATATGGGCACAGTTGAGGCACTAGCGATCCAAAAGTTCAAGCGCGTGCAATGCATTTGTCTCTACCATGGCCACCATTAATGTCAATTGTCTCAATAGCGATTACCCTACTACCCT